TTCTTCTCCCCTGTTATTTCCTCTATCACATTATAGCCAATTATAGGCTCTACTGCTACGTCGGGGTCATTTGACACTAGAATTGGTACTAGAAGTGGTTTGGTCAGGGTGGAGTCTTTACCTAGCCTAAATTCTGCTTCCACCCAGCCCATGAAGGGGATCTCAGTCTGGTTGGCGGCCACTCCCAATACAATATCTGAGCCCAACAGCTCACTGAGAGGTCGCACTGTGCTGTGTGGTAAATGTTGCTTTCTCCATTCGTCATTAATGATGGTTGCCTGAGCACCTGAGTCCCATAATGCTACCACTGGAACTGTATCTAATGTGCAATGGACAGTGTGCCTCTTTGCAATTAACTTGATGAGTCTTTCCTTGCGTCGTGGTGGAAGATAGTTAACTAACGAGATTTGAGGTGGTGCATAGGGGAGGGCAGGTTGCGGTATGGTGAGACGTGATGATTCATGGGCTACCGGGGGTCTCGGCTCGGCAGCCCCCTCTCGTTTCCCTGCTGCTCCTTAGGCCGTCGACATCCTCTAGACAGATGCCCCTCTTGCCCACACCTAAAGCAATGTCTGCAGGCGTCCCCCATCTGAGCTTCCTGACATGCCCTACAACCTCTGAGCCGAGTACGGCCGGGTGTGAATGGTCTCTCAGTTAGTCTAACTTGTGTAGCCTCCACTGTCTGTAACACCAACTTCTTAATTTCTAGCACCTCAGCCTTTAGCGCTTCTAATGAGTCTACCTCTGTTTTGGGTCCTTGACTTTTCTTACTTCTTCCCCCTTGTTCACGAGTAACACTATCTACTGCTGTCTCTGAGGTTTCTGATGGATGCACTTCTGCCTGCACTTCACTGATTTTTGGGGACTTGCTCACAACTGTCTTCCTCAATTTTTGTTGTCTCTCTTGTTCTAAGTTTGTTGCCTCATTGATCCGTTCAATTAACACCTCATCTGTGACAGTACGGTTGCTGAGATATGGTTTGAGTTGGAACTTAACTGCATCACTGTAAAGACCAGTCTCTATAGAGCGGAGAAATTTTCTTTGAATTAGTTGAGGACTGAACTGCTCACCTTCTTCGCTTGCATCATCATCGCTGAATTTTCTCATTAGCTTCTCTTTCAGTTCTATTGCTCTGAATAAGAAATTCTGTGCTGACTCCCTTGGGTCTTGTGTCATGTTCATCAGACGATGCAGCAGGTCAGAGGAAGAATCCACTTTGTAATGCCCCTTAAGTATGGTTTTGAGGGTGGATAATGTCAGTCCTCGCTTTATTTCCAACATTTCCTGCAGATGAAGACCTGGGCTCACAGCACGTGTGACTGCTTCAATAATCTCTGCTTCTCCATGTCCTTTCTGTAGTGCCGACTCGATCTGGTTTATGAGGCTGGTGTAGGACAATTTTTCTTTCTGGCCCGCTTCACCGATCTGCCCCATTATCCGAAACTCCCGCCTCAGCGTGACCTCAGGCAGCCTGGTTGGTGTGGTGATGGCAGACTTTGTGTCTACATCCTTTGTAGTAATGGGGACCGATGCAGTGTGTCCTCCTGCTGCTTGCATCCTCTGCTTCATTTTTTCCTCCAACGCCCCAATTTCCTCTTCCATCTGTTGCTGTAATTTCTGGTACTGCATTTTCAACTCCTCTAGCTCCCCTTTCTCCTGAACTACGGTCTCAGCCTCAGTTTCTCCCAGTGTTGGATTCAGAGAGGAAAGATCGGACAGTAATTGCTGGAGATACTTCTGATATGAATCTGTGGACTCTTCACCCTCCTCAATTTCATCTAATGTCTTCTCCACCAACCTGATTAGGGTGCGTCTTGTTTTGCTGGCAAAACCCCCAACAGGTGCGTTACACTTTAGATGTTCACATAGGTGAATGAGCTCCTTCTCCCCCAGCGTCAGCAATCTCCTGCTCACCTCGTCCCTTGCTTCCTCCATGATGCTGCTTTGATTGGTCCGGCTTTCTTTCTATGCGATTAGGCCCTGGGCTGAACCAACCACCCTCTGCTACCAAAATATGTAGCGTGGTACAGCATGAAGCTGTCTCCACTACACATTTAATTTGAAATTCCGCTTTATTTTTCTTCTGCAAAGAGCCAAAAATGTTGATATTAGAATCAGAGTTCGCCACACACGTATATCAGCTTCACAGTCTATACGTGTCCTCATTCTCTGAATGACCGAGAACACACAGTGTGGCGAACGCGCCCTCTGCTGGTCAGGGGTCGACAGTGACTTCTGTTCAATAACTAATTTCAACATAACAAAATCACCTGTACTTATTAGAAAATAAATTCACCACAACTTGAACATAACAGTGGTACATTTATATTAGATTTAACATGTTTTTTTGATTATGGGGTGGATATTTTAACCTACTGATGGCTCTGTATGCCACATGAGCACAGATCCAATGGTGTATTCCCCACTCAGGATTAGGGTGCTGCCATACCAAAAGGCCAGAGCATAAGACAGGTCGATCATCAGAAAGGTGAATCCCATGGCGATGTTAGCAGAGACTGCCTTCCTTATTCCCATCGTTTTAGCATCTTCCAAGTTCTTGTGATATCTAGAATAAAGCCCACATTCTCAGAACCAGGCATGGAAAAGGTCACAAATATGCACCAGTGAAATTGAATTGCAATGTAACAGAAACCCAACAAATGCAACATTAGTGTGTCTAAAAAAAATACTTTAATTCAATTCTAGCCTTTCTCTGCTGACACTAACTGCTTTACTACACTACACTACAGGATATATCTTATTTGGTTTTCACAAATAAAATAAATAAAAGCTCCCTTTAATTTTTTTCCAAAGTAAAGTGGATTTTAAATATAGCTGCAGCCAATGTTTAGCCTCCATAAACTCACCTCTCAATCTCCTTCTTTTGACCACTGAAGGCAAACACCGTCCTGATGGCAGAGAGGACTTCTTCTGCAACAGCACCAGCTTTGGCATATGCACTCTGTTCTTTGGTAGTGAAGTTTGTCAGCAACTGTTCACATAGAAAGAGGCCCAAATGTGACTAAGACTGATGTTTTAAAACCAGGGCAATCTCACAAGATCATGGATAAGTCAATGTCACACACTTGTCAGGAGGCCAAGCCGTCTAGGAAGTGGGACCCAAAGTGGTTGAAAGAAGTACATGCTCTGAAGACTTTTCAGCTAACAAAACTTTAATTTTTTTTCTGGCGCAGGACATCAACCAGTGGTGTCAAAAATACACACATTTGTTACTTAAGTAGAAGAATAGATACTCCAGTTTAAAAACACTCTGGTAAAAGTTGAAGTAGAGTAAGTTGACCTCTTACTCAAGTAAAAGTGAAAAAGTATGTGCTACAAAAACTACTTAAAGTATAAAAGTATAAATTAACCTTTAAAAAAACAGCCAGATGCCACTATATTGAAAGCTGAATTTTTCGACTATTTCTAAAAATTATTTGAGATAGGGCCAAGGATGAGGGAGGTCTTGTTGGTCTCCATCTCCCGATAAGCTCTCGCCTGTGTCCGACCTTTCAGACATTTCAACATCTTTTTCTGAATCCGACATTGTAGCATGGCATAGACAATTCGCCTTTACAGTTTGAAGAACACCTGCTTGCTTCTGATGATTTCCATTGGCTAACCAATGAGTGTTTGCGTTACATGACTCATCCAATTACACTAGTTTCCACTAGATGTGGATGGCGCCAAAGATCTGCACTGGATGGCGCACATGACGGGAAATAAATATTTATAAACATTAAACCAGGGGTAACCAATTAAAAATCAGTGGTCTTCCAAATAAAGAAAATCATCAACCAGTAAAGGTCTGAAGACATTTTTAATGATCTGTTACTTTAACACTAAAAGTCTCGGAGATACGAGAATTTTCGTCAGCCTGCAATCCCCCCGCAGTAATTATCAACTCATGAATCCCTTTTCAGATGTAAATGCCCCATCAGCGCTGTGGCTGGAGAAACATTCCACCCCCTTCAGTTTCGGTTTTAGCTCAAGTCTCTCTCTTTGAGAGTGTTTTACCTGAGAGAAGGGGGGAGGGGGGGGGAATAATATTTGTGATTAAATATAACTAGCTCTACGTCATCAGTGTCGCCAACACCACAATGATTTCAGCACAGCCACCAGCGCAGCGATCAGACGATAACTGTTCTGTACAGTGAAAATAGCTGCATGACCTGGAACGCTGTAGAAAGCAACAATATTTATACAATAATTACCATTTATACAATAATGAGCATTATTTATTTGGGGGGAAATATAACTTAGGCGATCTCTTCTCTCTCTCTCTTCTTTCCTCCGCTGGCAATATATGCACAAATTCAGCTTATCCGGATTAATAACTCGTCAGCGAATTATTTATTCTACAAAACAGACACCACAGCAAGCCATAGAGTGAGCTACAACAATATTTTCCTCAAAAAGAGTCTCCTATCACGCTGGTAGAATTACATTGGACTCTATGGGGAGCTCAATGCTCCAAAAATGTGCAGGAGGAGCGAGCTCTGCAAGTTGCAAAATAATCAGAGAGAAATATTCTAAACCGTCACCAAGGAGAGGTGGATTATTATCACATTTATTGGATTCGAAAATAATACTTTTCTGAGGAATTTCCAAAAGCCTAAATGACAAATGACACCTATTTTATTATTTGAATAAGTATAAAATGAGCAATGACTCAGGAACTAGGATCCGTATTATACCTGGTTGTTCAATAGGTTTGCCTAAATAAAAGATTTAGATATTACTTATCCAGATATCCCTGCAAAAAGGTCTGATGTTGCAGAAGAAGGTAATGAAAAGTGTTTGGAGCATGCTCTTGTTCTGATGCCAGTTTGTTTCAGCCTTTATCTAGTCTCCTGTAGAAGGGCTGGTCCTATCACAGGTTATTTGCATTACAACAAGGACACTTAGCAAGGTAGAGTGAATACACAAAATTGAAGAGGGGAGGGGGGCTTGCAGGAATTCTCCGTGACATCTAGGCCCCGTCCACACGCAGCCGAACCCTGGCCTAAACGCACAAATTTTTCACCAAACCAGCCTCTCATCCATACGAAGCCGGCGTTTCGGGGGTCTGTAAACAATCTTTTTTTTATTCAGCCTTCAGAGTGGAAAGATTTTGAAACGCCGTTTTTGCGTTTCCATCTTTAAGCTCTAACCGCATTTTTTTTTTTACACGCATGCGTCATAGCGTCGCCTCTAAACACGCATGCGCGACACAGTATCACAACAACAATGGCGCCGTACAGTGTTGAATGGTTGCTGCTAATGTTACTCACCCTGCTGTCGGGCCTACAACAGAATCTTCTTCTTCTGGAATATCTCCAGGAAGAAAACAGAATTTAACACTGAAATAAAATGAGGTATTTATGCATTCATGTTATACATTGAATTTTGAAAAATTGCATCCTGTGCTATCTCAGAGGAGTTGACACTTGTATGAATGTATTGCTGTATATCCATCAGTAGTTAAAGGACATGGGTCAGCAAATGCAAATTCTTACTGTAAAACAATGACAGCGCAATTGTCGCTGTATGATCTGAAGCCTCATTTGGAGCTTTTAAACAGACTTTTGAAAAACTTTGATAATTTGCTGCTGTAATATTATAGATTTTTTTTAGAATAAAAAGCTAGCAGAAGTGCATAATCCAAAAAATAACAGAAATACAATTATAGAGCATTCAGTATTATAAGAAAGCCCACACTGTTTCTGAATAAATACATTATTGTTTGAGTTAAGTTCTGTTCCGTTTATGTCTCTTTCCTTGTAAGTGTGAAATGTCCCATGCTTCTGAATGCACCATAGCTATCTGACGCTCTTGAATGCATCACTGGTGAATGCTGTGCTGTGGAGATGCACGTTTGATTTTCCGCTAAATACAAAGCTTTGCAGTTTCCGATATTCCATCGGCTATCACGGTTTATTTTTGTGTGTGAATAACAAGAGACTACGAATAAATCAGCCGTACCTCGGTCAAATCTTTGGATTTAATGTTGTTCATTACACTCGTACTGGGGATGCATATCTCAGCACTTTTCGGCATAACACCGGACCGCGGTCCGCTAATCCATGACCTCTGCATTATACCGAAGCCAAGAGTAACGAGTAACGGTTGTCTTAAAAATCCAGAGGAGAAATATCTCATCCTGGTGTCCAGAATTAGAGAAAGCCAGGCTTGAGATAGCATGATTAGGGCTTCCTGGATTTATTCACTTCACAAAGGCCAACCAAGGCTCAACACGTGCAGCCATGTCAAGTCTGGTGTAACTAATCAAGCTGAATACAGGTCTGCAGCTTTCTTAAAGACACCATGAGGTAGACTAGATATTCATCCATGAGCAAACAATAGAAGATCAACTGAAAGCCTAACATGCATTTCCTAATCGCTCCTTTGCCATAAAGCAGTAAATTTTAAGGGGTTGCCATTTTTATTAAATAAACAACTAATACCTTAAGAATGAACAGTAGACGTCAATAATTTAACATATGCAGATCTGACAGCTGATAGATTTAGATCACACACATGCAGTAATGCAGTTAGCTGCAATCACACAGAAAAGTAATAACTGGTTTGTAAGACAGCAGTTACAATTAAAGCAACCCACCCTTTGCTGCTTCTTACTGGCCTAGCAATTTACCACCATATCAAACTGATTAGCCAAAAAAACTAATGGATGCCAACTAGTCTGTCACCAAATAACTTCTCCAAGAAGGGTTGTAAAACCACAGCCAAAGTTTAATCCCTAACCCTTCCCAACACTGTGATGGCTTTGCATCTTCAGATGCAAACTTTCAGCTAGTCATATCCTCTAACTTGCAGAATGCTATGTTGGGGGATTGAACTGAGGCTGGCAGAAGTGAAGCTCCTTCAGTCAAAAAGAACACCAAAACAATATCTACCAATGCGGTTTGAATTTCTGTACCTTACTGAAAAGTGCAGCTGAGATCCCCAGAGCTGGGCTCACAGCCAGGATGACGAGAGTCAGTTTCCATCCTTTGGTAAAACCGATGATAAAAGCTGCGATAAAGCTACTAAAACTTTGGATCAACATCCCCACCTTGTCACCAATTCCCTCCTTGATCTTGTAGACATCACTGCAAGGATAAAAAGAACCAAAGATCGATCCTATTAGCAAAGCAACACTACCACTTCCCAAACTGTGTGTGTGCATCATGTGATGTCTCTGCTACCCACTCTGTTAGTCGTGTGTTGAGCTCTCCTGTTTCGTTCACATCAAACCAGCCGATGTCCTGCTGCATGATTCTGTGGAAAAACAACTTGCGGATGCGTTTAACCTGCCGTCCGGCAGCCAGAGTCCAGAGAGACACCTGGAGGTAGGCCGCAACCAGCACGACGGCTCCCAGGATGGAATAGTAGATGGCAAACCTAAAAGAACAACCTACTGTATGAAGCGTTCCTTAGACTAACATCTGGACACTTTAAATGACATCTGTGTAAAACTTTACGTCGTCATTTCCTCTTCTAATGGGTTGGTCATGTTTTCTGAGAAGGTGAGATCTGTTGAATGGAAATTTTATTTCATTATTAGCATTAGTTCCATTAAGTTTTACCTGGCTTAAACTAATATGTCCAATGGAAATCATTTGTCCTAAAAAATGTAAATTAAATCTAGTGGAATATAAACAGTTTTTTTCTAAAAAAAGTACTACAGGAACAAAGTTAATTAAACTTTTTGTGTATCTAGGTTCATGATATAAATAAATTAAGTAGATCAGCAGTTGTTTGTTGAGGATCACTGCTATTAAAAATCAGTAAACAAACATTACTCTAAATATCTTTATTAGTTGAAACCATAAAAGGGACATATATTATGATCTTTTAAAAATTCGAGAGCAAAATACATTTCTATACTATGGTTACAAAAACAGTGCTAATACATTAGCGGACCCAAAATAGTAAATTAGTAGTACATTTTACCTACAAAACTACCTTTTTATTACTTACAGCAAAAAAAGAACTTTGCTAATTTAGTTAGAGCCACTTGTTGCTCCTGAACTGCAGCAGACTCCTAATATAACCTGTACTATGATGTATATGTATAATTACGTTTTGGTTCAAACTTCCTATGGAAGAAATACAGTGAGGAGCAGCATGACAGTCATTTGTACTAAAATAAAAATCCACAAGATTACATGGTTTAATAAAAAAAAAAAAATTCTCCAAATGATTGCTTACGAGTAATAAAATCTGACTATTTCAGTCTGTAGTGCTAATCTATGTCCACAATTTACTTATAGCTATGTTGATTAAACATCTCATTGAATTAAAATAAAAAAACAATGTACTAGTACGTGAAAACTACTTGTGAAGCGGAGGATTAAACAAAAATATAGAACAAACTAATTGAAATAAAAACCATCAGATATTGTCATGTGACAAATGGAAATGAGTGTGACCGACTGCAGAAAAGTCTGTCTGGTCAGTTGCTTAAAGTAGTGTACATGTATACATACAGATACTCATCTATACATAATACTCACTGGGGGGGTTTGCACTGGTGTTAGAGGAAGCGCTGTTAACAAGACTGTCTGTCATGTCTCCAAAGACGATACATATGAGAGGAAGCACCACCCCATTGGCTATCGCCATCACAGTCCCGACTAAAAGCATGAGAATGTCCAAGCTGTCTGCAAACCTGAACTACACAAGAAACAGATACATCAGAGACGTACTGCATGAAGGTATTATCTGAAAGCAGCAGGACACCGGTGGACTTCAGCCGAACAACAGCAGGATGTAATGCACTCCCATCCGATCTCCAACTTCCTCTCTTGCTGTATTTCTCTCACACATACAAGTTTCTATTATGCTTGTAATTGAAAACCAACAACAGAATTTTATGTATTTGTATAAGTATTCATCATTTTTATTTAACATTAATCTTATTGACTAGATTTTAACAGATTTCCTTTCACACACCCTTTTTTAAATCAAGAGAAAAATGGAAAAATATTTACAGATGAAGACCATCTTTCTAACAGGAGGGGATCAGGGCTGCAGCTAAGCTTACCACGGAGAATGGGCCAACCATGGGCTCCTTCGCCTCCTTTTCCTTCTTCTTCTTCTTATTAGTCTTTTCATCATTCTCTTCTTTTTCACTATAATGATTGTGCACAAAAGGGGGCTTGTTTAACAAAACATTTTTTTGTTCATTCTGTACCAAAAAAAGTTAAGATTATGGCTGAAGTGTATAGTTCACTATTCAAACACATATAAGGTGTAAAACGGGAATTAAAAAGTGGGGTCTGAGTAATCAAGCTGTAAAGTATTTAGAATAAAATTTGAAAACAAATACAAATCTATTTTTTCAATGTTAACTTCAAAAGAAATTCTAAAGTATCAACCCTCCAGATCACTCAGGTCTTCTGGCTCCAGCCTGCTCTGCATTCCTAGAACCAGAACTAAACATAGAAAAGCAGCATTTAGTTCCTATGCTCCACTTATCTGGAACAAACTTCCATAAAACTGTAAAAGTGCGGAAAACCTGAGTTCCTTTAAATCAAGACTAAAAACACATTTGTTTAGGATTGCCTTTGACTGTTCTAGTTAAACAGTTCAACTGAAATATCATTAGATATTTTTTTCTTTAGTCCAACTGTTTTTAATGTTCTTTTTTGTTTCTGCATTTTTTATTAATCTATTTTTTTCCTACTTGCTTTGATTCTGTTTTATTTTCCTATATTTTAATCATGTAAAGCACTTTGCATTGTCATTGTACTGAATTGTGCAATACAAATAAATTTGCCTTGCCTTGCCTAAAGGCTTTAATATTTATGTTTTATTCTCAAACTTTATCAACTTGGTTGGGAGGTGAAGGTACAGTAAAAGAGAATCTTTAGCACCTTTGACCTTTAGCATGTTCATAGTACATTTTAATCATCTTTACTGTAATGACATCATTTACATTCCTCTGGATTTGCCTACAATATACAACAGCCATTTAAAATCACTCTATATTTTTTTTACTCTGGATGAGAAACAGGAAACAATAGCAGGTGTATAATGATTAAACTTTAACCCTGTTTGAGTATTTTCTTCAAGACACTGACTTAAATGATTGGAATGGCTATCATTTTAAAGTATTAAAGCTACAGTGTGTAACAATTACAGGGATATACTACGGTGGCTGAGAAGTGCAAAACACATTTACAATTCAAAAACACATTAACAAATAAAAAACAAAATAACATTTGAAGAAACAAAATTATATTTTGTGAAACAAATGTATTTTTGAAAAAAAGAAGTTTAAATTTTTAAAAACAAATTTACATTTTAGCAAACAAATGTACATTAACAAATAAACAAAATAACATTTGAAGAAACAAAATTATATTTTATGAAACAAATGTATTTAAAAAAAAAAAGTTTAAATTTTTAAAAACACATTAACAAATAAAAAACAAAATTACATTTGAAGAAACAAAATTATATTTTATGAAACAATTTATTTTTGAAAAAAAAAGTTTAAATTTTTAAAAACACATTTACATTTAAGGAAACAAATTCACATTTTAAATAAGTTAGATTTTAGGTGAGAGAAAGTTTCATTTTAGAGAAAAAAAATACATTATAACTTCCCCGAACTCAAACCTTGTGGGCGGGACTAAGTTCGGACTGGCACCCAGGCTACGGGAGTGCATCTCTGTGCTATTTGTTGTTAGTATGGTATAAACAGCAAGTGTCTTTATTTTCCTGTTTAGTGTTTAGAGATCAGAACTATATTTTGTTTTATTTGTAAAGAGAGTTTATTTTTGTTTTGGCCTTGGAGCAGTCATCCTGCTGACTTACTGTTTGTTATTTTTTGTGTTTCATGCTTCATTTTGCTTAGTTCATTTGTGAACAAAGCCTCTGTATTTGCAAGTGGGTAAACAAGAAAGCAATGGGTAGAGCCAGTTGTCACTAATCTGCATGACAAATTGAAGAACATTTTCACAGAACTGAAAGTATTGCAAAGGTTAATTAAGTCTTTATGAGATTTTGAGATTAAAGACAATATTTATTCATTTATTTTGGTGGTTTATTCAAGGTTAGAAGCATTGGTGTGCACAGACTTTTTGAAGGGCAGGGCTGGAAAGAAGAAAAAGTGCACATATAGTTCATCATCACCCCTGTGGAGGGCAACCAGGGGGCATTTTAGAACACATTTTGGCTTAGGGGGTCTTTTGACACACCCTTAGCTCCCTAGGGGGCACTTGAGGGGAATTTAGCACGCACTTTGACTCCTGAGGGGGCAGTTTAGCATTTGTTTTGGCTCCTGAAAGGACATTTGAAGAAAGTTTAGTACATATTTTTACTTCTAAGAGGACACCTTCACAGGCCAGCAGACCCAGATGTTTCAGTCATTCTAAGCCCTTTCTATTACCTAACTCTGACAATACCCTGAACATAATAATTAACTGAGCATACCTTCCCTTGACTCTAAAGATAACTCAGTTTACACCTTAGTCATAACCTTCACAAAATAGGAAGTGGAGACCTCACAATTCTGTTCTTCATACTGACAGTTTAAGTATAAACAGCATTATAAATAGGAAAATTACCTTGATGCTGTCCCCTTGTTAGCGCGCCGCTTGTTATGAATGGGAATTGACTTTTCCCTTGATATTCTTATAAAAGGCTTCTAGAAGGATTCACTCAACTTAGAGCAGCTGTAGATCAGTTTATTTAGCTAACATTGGTTGATCTTCCACCATGCTGAGCTGTAGCTTTACTGCAAGGCATCGCAGGATGGTTGGGCTCGATGTGGGTCTATTAAGTGGCCAGTGGCACCTAGAGTGAAAAGTATCTGGTATGCCATTTTCAAAGATGTCACATGCCAGTTCTAAAAGTGTTGTAGCAGTTCAAAAACTACTTTTGAAATTAGCATGCCACTGCCAGTTACATAAATGGCTTACCAGTTTCAAAAGTGGCATATTCCACTATTATGCATGGCATGCACATGTACAATAGGTCATTCTAAGCATCTGTTGTTTTACAACACAGAAGAAGAAGAAGAAAAAGAAGAAGCAGAGTTCTGCATTTGATTAAGTCAGATTAGATGCTACAATTAGGCTAATGCTTAGCAGATCACCTGTTTACTGTAATATTGACAACAGGCTACTGCTCTCACACTATCAAAGAAAAAAGCAAACGGTCAACGGTCAAAGCAAACTGGCCTACCTGTTTCAAAAGTGTCATATGCCATTCTTCAATACTGGTATAACTTCTGTAACTTGAATGCCTGTGGCATATGCCACTTTATAAAGTAGCAGAAAAGAGACCACTTTTTTCTCTCGTTGTCACTTTAAGTAGCTACATCAATTGTCACCATCTGGCTTTCTGATATTTCTGTGGTTTTGGTGGCAGATGGCACCATGTCTGTTTATGTCTGCACACTGCTTCCCACTGCTGGAATTTTATTTAGGCTAAAAAAAAAATGACGAAAGACCAGGACGGATGTGTGGTGCTATAATCTTATTTCCTTTTGATCAGATAATTTGTGTTTTTTTTTTTTTTTTGTATAGACATATAAAGTGACCATGTACCTTTAAGTTCAGAAATATGGGATCAGATTGCAGGCTACTTTATATAAGATGTCAGCACTTTAAGCTATTACTAGCACAGCACAATATACATATTACATAGTCTACAGTACAATATCATCAGTTTGACGAAGATGATATGTATTTTTCCTAACCTTTGGCGTGCTGATAAATCCTGGTGAGTAAGTGTAGTTGGACCATTTAAATATCAAGACACCGAAGTGCCTGACACATTTTCCATTCACCAAACGGCCGGTCCTGTGCTTCCTGTGTCAGTGGAGCAGTGGTCTATCTCATAGTTTAAATACCTAAGAGTCATTTTTACACTCATACAGAGGAGGCATTTTCCTAAATTTGAAACTTAAATCCAACAAATGGCTTCAGCATATTTTGTTGTGTGAGGATATTCAAGTTGCTTTATTGTAAATAAGTATTATCTTTGTGAAAATCATGTTATTTCAACATCTGCTAGACATGGTATCAGATCATAAGGGTTTAATGTATATAATGACAAAAAAAAAATAATGTGATTGAGACACATTAATAAAATATATATCTATAATAAAAATAGATAAAAGTGAACTCATCTGTAGAAACGTAGACAAAGGTTAACCACTAGGTGTCGCCATTTGTTGACCATTTAGCCTGCTATAGATATGGTTAGAGGCCAGAAAAATCTACGTTTTGGAAATCGGATACAACAGGAGAGGAACATTTTTTTAATGAAACGGCCATACGATGAAACAGGTCTAAAAATAGATGGTAATTTGGAACAGATGTTTGTTTGTTTGTTTTTTCACAACACACACTAAATAGGTAGCCTACAAATTATTAATTATTGTAATGTTAAATATGACCTGAATATTCTGTTGCTGGTTATATTAAACAGCAACAGAACTATTAAAACAATTGTGCAAAGTAAAAGGAAAAGAAAGTATTTAATCAAATGTAAATCTGATCAAAACAATACAAAAACTGATATAAAAAGTATTCAGAATACAATAGTAATTTAGTGTATTTCATAATGTTTAGTTAGTGTCTAATACGCCTTTTTGAGCTTTACAAGTTAATATATAATTAATCTTCTGTTTTCTTTCTTTTGCACAATGAGTTTAAAAGCTTTACATCATAGGATCAAACTTTATGTTTCAGGGTTTTGCCAAATTTTCTATTGCATTAACCCCACATTACCAGTTAAAATATGTCTCAGAAAAGAGCTAAAGAAAGTAAGAAAAAATTTTATAATAAATAGCCTTTTGTGATGTTATCACCAGGGAAAATTATTCAATTTAAAAACAGCAAAAAGAACTACAATTTGCTATTGTTACAGGAAAGTCTAATAAACGTCTTAGGCAAATAATAATATAAAGAGTTTCCAGCATTTTTGCCTCTAAGGAAGACACTTTAGGATTACTAAAAAAAAAGAACAAAACAATGAAATACAATTAATTATAATTATATATATATATATATATATATATATATATATATATATATATATATATATATATATATATATATATATATATATATATATATATATATATATATATATATATATATATATATATATATATATAAGATTATATAAGATATTTAATAAGATTACGGAAATAAAAATAAAAAAAACTTTATTTTCTAAAGTAGCCTATTTCTTCTTGCTACAGGGAGAAAACATAAATTAGAGAAATGTCAAATAGTAAATAATAATTCTGAAATTCAACTGTGTCTAGGTAGGAAACGAAAAGCCAAATATAAGGGTACAGCGACTTGGTTACCTGAAACCACTAGATGGCGCTCTAGTTCTCTATATTGACCTAAGAATTTTAAAAAGCATTTAAAGCCAGTCCAAAAAAAAAAAAAAAAAAAAAAATCGTTTACTGTTATCAAAATGAATACACCAAGCCTAAAAAGAAAGAAATAAACATGCCTAATATAGGCCCACATTTACCATAAACCAAGCGTTGAAATAATGTCCATTTTTAATTAGTCAAGAATTCCTCACTTTAACTTCTTCCTAAAAAAAATTATTAAGAATATTTTTGTTAGTACTACTACTATTTTCATTATTGTTAAACGCGTATTCTTTAAATAAGCAATGGAAGCATATTTTGGTAGAGTTCAGACTCTTATTTTGAAAGAGCCAACAGGAGGCGCTCCATGCATCTCTCGTGTCAGTTTTCTGTTTTGTCCTCCTCCACCAGAGCATCTCCAGCTCTGCCGTTCTGCAGCGACGGAACCAGCGCTCCTGTCCTCGTTCAGAGGCAGCAAAGTGGGTCAGCGTAGCGCCGCAGACACCAGCCGGGCCGCCGGTGGGGATGGCGTCGCTCAGCCGTAGGCGCGGAGCGGCCAGGAGCGGCGTGGTGGAGAAGAGGAACCTGCTCACAGTGTGCAGGTAGATGATTCTACACTTCATGATAAAGATGGCTTCAAATTTTTTTTTTAATCAAGGGATTTGCTTTATATCTAGAAATATCTCATATATCTCTACATCCTCTTCCAAACAAAGCTTCTGAGTCAATGCAGAGGTCTAATTAGACATGGAAAGTAGGTATGTGGTGGGTTGTCTGTGCTGAACAGCTTAATGTCATCCAATTTTTTTCTCATTCACAGCATCCTCCTTCCTTCTTCATTAAACATTTATCATACATTCATATTTTTGTTCTTATACCTTCACACTCAGCCCAGTGAAGCTATAGATTGACAGATCCAACATACAGAAAGATGTTGCAGATGGCACACTTTTTATTTATTTTTATTTTTGTATTTAACTAAACAATCAACTTAATTAGTGGTCAGTGTCTGAATCATAGTTTGACATTGTTAAAAATAATATACCCATAAGAGCAACATTTAATTGAATATATTATTAAGAAATATGCAACAACAAAAAATTATATTCATTTTTGCAGCACAGCTTTTGAGTTTTATTTAAATAAACAGACCTACATTTATATGAACTTTGCTGAGGTGCGCACAGGCTTGTCATCTGCTTGTCTAGCTTGTCTTTGTTATTTACTGATCAAAGCTTGGAGTTCAGAGAGAATTGATGTATGGCCCTTTGAGTGCTGCTGACATGTCAGTTATTGACTGACAGCCAGTCCCTGATGAATGTTTTTGACAGTAAACGAAATCATAAAGGAAAGCGTTGATTGTTTATTCTGTCTTGACAATAGCTCATCTGAAAACAAGCCTGACAATGTAGCATTTTAGCCATGTTTAGAGACATGCTTAGGAGATAAGAAGCAACTTTTGCATCAGTGAATGTTTCTTTAAGAATTGAGCTTTAACATAATTAAAGCAGGCTGCAGCTCACTGACGGTGGATATTTTGCCAAAAATGTCCTGCTTCCACATTAGTCCTCATTAATGCTGACTGTCTCGGGGCAAAAAAAAAAAAAACAGAGCAAAGAAAAGATGCTGGAAAAGACTGGATGATGGGCATTCCAACAGGGTACATCTCTGCTTCCACACACCAGAATCAAAAGGCTAAATGTTTGCACTTAGATGATTAAAAGCGTATAAAAGAGTAAATAATTTGAGTGTAAAAGAGTAGGTTAACACACTATAGGTACTAATTCAGCAGCTTCACGTCTCTTTAAAAGGAACCACATTGACTTTTTATACTTATTTCTCCTGGGTGCTCTTTAATAGTTTATGCAAAAGTCTAATTTGTAGCAATTTATTCAGATGGCCTTTCTGTGATGTTTGTTTTTGTTACAGCTAAAGACAACTAAGATTTAGTTATCACAAGACAGTGCAAAACAAACAAGTAAATATACAGACAATGACATTATAAGTGAGCCAAATTACATAGATAGATAGATAGATATATAGATATATAGATAGATAGATAGATAGATAGATAGATAGATAGATAGATAGATATATAGATATATAGTTTATGTATAAAAACACCTTTTTCTATCCGACTATTCACTGGTTCTGCAGACAAAATCTCACAACCCCCCTGCATTACCTGGTGAATGCAAACACTCAAGATCTCTGATAATCAGATACATGGACGGGGGATCAACTGTTTTCTATCCTGATAAAGAATTCAATCCTCATCAACAAAACCAGGATTTGGATCTCTCGTTTTTCAAAATTGTTCTGGGGCTTCAGCAGAAAGTTATAGTAGTAATCAGTTAATCTAGTGATACATTTCTCAGTTCATTTATAAAAAATGCTCTTATGCTTGAACTAAAAAATATGACTGCAATAATATATATTATTGCAGAGTTTAACTGCATGGTATATTTCTTGAACATCTAATAAATATACCTACTAAACCCCAATGGGATAGAGCATGTTTACAAAGTTGTTTTTTTTTTAACCCTTAGATGCAAAATGTATTTATTTTATAATGTTTTTGCTTCCTTACTGCTCTGAGAGGGCTGTTATTTCAGCAAACAACATGTTTTAGAGTCTGTATACTATGGTGGCTGATCCTTGACATACATTAATTGTAAGTTACTCATAAGTGGTGGTGTCTAGATTATCCAAAACCTATGAGCAACTTTCCAAAAAAGTTAAATAACAATCCAAAGGACTTTCTTTCCAAGTTTGAAGACATTTTGCTTCCCATCCGGGAAACTTTTTAAATTCAATATGTCAGAAATAGCGTTGAGCTCGAGGCTTTATACAGTAGCCCAACAAAGCCATTTTGAAGTTATCAGATATTCATGGATGCCTTACTTGTTTTTAATTTTAATTTTAAATTGACTTGCTGCTCCATCTGAGATATGCAGTTATGGAATCTGCTGCCAGGTCATGTCAGGAACTGTCACCCTTACTCCAACTTTAAAAAACTCTCTGAAAAATTTGTTGAAAACTAACCAGCTATCTGTTCACATGTAGATTGTCTGTTTCCCTGTTACTGTAGAATTGCGTTTATTGTAAATTCATGCTGTTTGTATTTTTATGTGTTGTGTGAGCTCCTCAGTTTATTGTCTTGTTTAATGTTTATTGTCCCTACGTGCTTATATTTATATTGATGCATAAAACTGACATATTACTTAGTTTATATTGTCCTAATTTCAATAAAAAAAATAAAATACATTTTCTTTTGGTAGATTCTGATGTTTTCTATTTTAAGATTTTAAATGACAGAAGAAAAAAAAAAAAATTTTGGCACCTTACATAGGAACTAAAAAAAACAAATTCCTTTCATATTTTTCAAAACACTGATAAAAGTGACGCTCTAACCTTCAAAATGCTCTTTAATAATAATTTAAGAATTTGATAATAATTGTATGCAAAAATGATGATCGTATAGAAAATGCATTATTTTTCTGAGTTATAAGGAGCTTCTAGTGTGAGCTTGTGAACACACACGATCAGCTAAATTGTATAATGAAATATAAGATAATCTGAAGATTTATTAAATTATTTGGAAATATATTCAGAAATGTGTTTTTGAAATAGAGTGAAGAACTAGCAAACATTGGATTACATTTCCAAGAAATAAATAGGCGCTCTTAACATCTGCGCAACACATCTGGACACATACCTTCGATGTTATGGAACCTCCATCAATCCTTGAAAAAAAATAAGTCCAGTTAAGAAGTCTTGAAGTTGCCTTAAGTGATCTTTAGAAGCTTGCTTGTTTTGTGTCACTTCTTATTATTACTGGAGCAAACATTTGCCTCTCAATAGAGTCCATTATCAGCTCCTTATGTGTGTCTTACAGCATATGGTGCTGGTCAGGATATGGTCAACGCTGCACAACTTCTGACTTGATTAAAAAGCATAATTAAGGTAGATGACATTGCATTGGAGATAATAAATGTGCTGTTTTCTAAACCAGGTTTTGAATTTCCCTCACAGTGAAATGTGCTTTGTGAACGTCATACTGAAATAACACTGATTAGCTGCTTACCTGTCCAGATCTGCTTTTTTTTAATGGAGGCTGCAAAAGTTTATATTGAATGCAGAGATTATAAAAAATACCATCCTTCAATGGATACAGGCAGGCAGAGTGGTTATTTATTGCCCATTTTACAAATGTTAGTAAAAGATACAGGACTTAAAAAGAAACAGAAACATCAAGTGTTTTTTTTATTTTTTATTGCAATATTATGTAGTCTCAAAAAATATAAAAAACTATTAGATTTGAACTAATGCAAAATGAAACTACTCAAATGACTAAAGCAGGCTTAATGTTTTACAGTTAAGAAAAATAGGATTCTGAATGGAAAGATCTGTAACAGGGTATTTTAAGGTTTCTGAAAGTCGATTATAGGTGAAGTTTATCAGGTGTTGAACAGGAAGCTAACCATCCATCGTCATCCTGTTGCTAAGCAACACTGAGGACAGCGAGATGCAGAGCGAGATTTAAAGTTAGATTATGTAGTTAGTGTCCACGGCTACACGCAGTTTGACAGGATTCACTGTGCACATGCAGAAACACACGGAAACACATGGTTGCCCTGTGTGCTGAATGTCCTTCCTGTGTAATTAGTTCCAATCAGATTAAACTCAGTCGGTTTGTGCTGCACAGCGAGGCTGTTTTCATCACAGGAGATTATTTAAGACATTTATGCTGCTGTTGTGGAAAAATCAACATGTAAATTAATTCATGTTATTCTACTTAAACTGAGATAATTGTATTGGCATTACTAATCTGAGTGATTTTGGTCCTTTTTTTAATGGAGGTTATGTATAGATTAGTAACATACTTATGTGTTTGTCCTCTTTCTGTTCAGGTTTTCAGTGAAGACCCTGCTGGATCGTTCTTGTTTTGAAACCATCGACGACTCTTCGCCAGAGTTTGTTAACTTCGTGTCCATCCTGGAGCACATCCTCAGTCATCGGCTCAAAGGCATGTAAAGCTTATGTGACAGAGGGAAGACACCGATAGAGGCTGTTTGTGTACAGTGCAGTGTGTAAATTTAATTAATCTAATTATTACCGCTTCACCCTTTTAAAGTTTTCCTCACAATAGCCTCAGCTGTCAATATTAAGTTGTTTGGCATATCTGTGATTAAACCAGCAGTAACCTAAGTGCCTTCAGCAGTTTGCCACAAGCTTCCCAATAAAAACAGCAAACATGTGGAGGAAGGGATGCCCTAATTTGAAAATAATACCAGTATGGGTCCTGATAATAAAGAACACTTTATATGGGGTATCAGTGAAAAGGGCCTGAACCACTGGAGCAGATTTATTTATTAAATTTCTATAATAAATGTTAAGTTTGGTTAAAAATCAGTTAAAAAGTAGAAAAGTGGCTTTGGTTTAATAAATACAGTTAGTTTGAACCCTTATAGTTACATAGTTGTTTTGAGGATCCTGTTAACATGATTCACTGTTTTTGTGATTTCCTTTTCTGGCCTTATACTAATCTCATCTAACTCATCATACATGCTTGTAGACAGAAATTTAAGACAGGCTCTTTTAAAATGCAACAGTAACAAAAATAACATTAAAACAAAAAATTTCAATTATTGCATTTGCATTTAAAGTAACAAAATGTGAATTGGTGCATCCCTAATATAGCTGATGTGAAATATAGTGGTGCCAGCATTATGCTGTGGGGATGGCTGCCCTTAACAGGCAAAGGAGCTTTGGGCAACTTGATAAAATGTGGTGAGAAGATGGATGGAGCTAAATCAAAGTTTGAAATTGGAATAAAATATATAAGAGGCTGCAAAAGGCTGGGCAATGGTAGGGTGGTAGTCCTAAACATACAGCTAGAGCTAAAATGTAATGATTTAGATAAACATTATTAATGTGTTCCTATGTGATGGATCTAGATTTAATGAAGAACCTTTGGTGATACACGAAAATAGTTCTTAATGCTTTCCATCCAGTTTGGCTAGGCTTGAGCTATTTAGGTAAAAAAATAAAATGAAAAACAAAATCAGTCTGTTGATTTACAAAGCTGGTCCAGACCTGTCCTGCCCCCAGAAAAAATGTTTACAGCTGCAACTGCAGTAAGAAGGACTTCATGTTTTCAGATCACATTTCTTCCGCTTCGTAACTTTTTTGTTGCTCTATTACACGATTTGTTGAGGTTCTGTTATTCAATAAAAATTAATGGGCAGTAACTTTTGCAACTCAATGTAAGGTTTATATTATCCAGACGGATGAGTGGGAGGTGTCATTATGGCTGCATATCACTGACTTACCAAGATGATTTGACTTCCAAAATGTAGAATTAGAAAATTGGTCAGATTTCAATATAAACAACAGTAACTGATTTAAATGCAATCATTGATATACCGGTACTTTTGAACATTTCTTAAGTTACCCAGTTTTCCCCAATTACTGCAACCAGTCAAAGGAAATTCGAGACAATTTTATACAGTTAAAATTTTAAATAATTTTCAATAACTGTTTATAGTTTCTGAAAAATTATTAAACTTCCCTTGGTAAATGATAAACTGTCTTGAGAATTAGTCCTTAAATGGAGCAAATTAATTGGCTGATGGGAGAGGAAACACATTTGGTTGAAATAATCAAGTTGTGGTCTAAAATCTTTAGATGAAACAGAGGGAAAATCAATGACATCTAATTAAATTCTGTTCATTTATATAACAATAATTTATAACAGATGTCCACTCAAGGCAATTTACAGTCCAGTTAATATCCAATTATCTAGATTTAAATTGAGTCTGTCCATCTCATTCCTATACAGTCCTACTTTTATCTAAAAACAATATGTCTTGCAACAATAATTTAGCACAAATAAGAGGCTGGGATTAGTTTCATCTCATTTTTTAAATGCTCTTATTTGAGCAACACCACTTTCAAAAATGTTTTTATAAAAGAAATCCTATTTTTATGTCTTTTTGGCTTAGGTCAGACCACATGGTTTGGTTATGAGAGTCCTCTGAGTTTCTGGGATTACATAAAAGGGGCCTGCAGTAAAGTGCCTCATAACTGCATCCGAAGCATCGAGAGCATGGAAAATGTACGATCATCAAGAGCAAAGGTGTGGCCCCCACCATGCAGGCACCATATTATATTTTCCAACACTGCAGGAGAGCTAGAGGAGAGATGCAGCAGCATAAAACATGTGGATATTCAACATATACAATACAAGCAATGAAAAACAACAGGACTTAAATCATTGGTGTTTATGGAGAACATTGCTGTCTTAGCTGAATTTAACGCATGTGTTATTTTGGAGGAATCCCCTTCTATAATATGTAACTGATTAAAATATGTACCAAGTTACATTTTTCCCACTACACCTTTAAGACTGATCTACTTTTTTTTTATTAGTTTGTATTATTTTTAAATAGAAAAATATTTTTTTTACACCCTAAAAATATAAAAACAAATGGCTCAAATTATATTTTGTCAACACCTAGTCATGAACTGATATTTCATATTATACACATATACATGTGTTAAGCTTATAGTTGATTTAAGTGAGGTGACATTTCTTCTCTGCATCTTTGCAGGGCAGAGCATGGATCAGGGTTGTTCTGATGGAGAAGCGACTTTCAGAGTACATTTCATTTGCTCTGAAGGACTTCAAAACCACAAGGTCTTCAAATAAATAAAAAAAGAAAGATTTTGCTGCTTCTCTTGCATTCCCTGCACTGAATAAATGCTGGTTTGTGTTGACCCTAGGAGGTTTTTTGAGGAAGGAGCGATCATGCTGGTAGAAGAGGCAGGACTGCTGGCAGACACGCTCATCGGCCTTAACACCATTGATTTCAGGTGCCTATCATGACTGACTGCCCATAATTAGTTGGTGAGATTGTCTCTTACTGTTGTCTTGGTGTTTTTATAAGGAAAATAAGAATATAAACTCTTTTGGTCGCCCTTTCAAAAAGAAATGAAATAACACAAAAATTATATAAAATATCAGATTTCATTTTTTACCAAATCAATGATGACACAATAAATATAAATTGCTGCCTCTTATTACCGGTATATTAAAGTCCTGCTTTGATGGCATTACTGTTCTTCTTTGCAGAAGCATCATATTGTTGGGATTTGTCAAGCATTTTCTGGGCTAAAGATTTTTTCCATTTTTTAATATATTTTTTTTAAACCCTCACGCCATAGCTGTTGTTTGTGCTAATATTGCAGTTACCACAGTATCATCTCCAAAGAACACATTTACCTCTCTTAAGACATAAACTCATAAACAAAACGAAACAAACAGATGCTGCGATATAAAGGTTCGACCCACTTCCAGATGTTTGATCGAGCTGAAATTTTGCATGTCACGTTATTTAAATCTCTATACATTAAGTAGCAAATTACAGCTCTGAAGTATTTATGGTTTCTGACTTACAGGTGTTTGAACTGAGTAAAGTCTTAAATGGAGCCTGTTGAGTGTCGAGCAGTGTTCCCGTTTTTTTCTATTGGAAAGGACTCACACCACAGGAGACTTGATGAAATTAAAGTAACTTATGGTGATGATGCCCGTTAATTGACCTTGCAAAATGTTTAACAAGGTTATATTATGGGACACTTTCAATCACTATAAGTTACTTTCATTTGATCTAAAGTCTCCCATTGTGTGGGTCCTTTCAAATGCAAAAACTCAGACTTGACTCAGTTTTAACACCAGTAAATCAGAAACCACAATTAGTTCAGAGCTGTAATTTGCTATTTAATCTATAGAGATTTCAATTTCTCCACATGCAAAATTTCAGCTTGATCAAACATCTGGAAGTGGGCCAGGGGCATAACCTATTGAACGCCCCTTGTATATAATAGTAAATGTGTCACAGAAGCATAAAATTAACAAAAAACATGCAATAAAATTACAATAACACCCAACTTGCTGTGTGTTACTGTAGGTCAACAAATGAAAATGTGAATGAAGCTCCAATCATGGTCAGATAACTCTATATATGAAATAAATCCACCACATCTTCCATTCAAAATATAACAAGTTATTTACAAAAATAATTCAAATTCAAGTCAAATAAAATCCTTTAAAAAATGTTGACTGAACTAGTGAAACCCAAACCAACTAACCTCACATTTACACAAAGAAGAAATAAAAAATGTTTGAAAATCATGATCAATAAAATGATGCAACCATGTCACAGTTAGGCATAGATTTTATGTTTTAGAACCAAAATTTATCTTCAAGATTTTGGAGTGAGGTCAAATTAGCTTTTAACTAATTTAGAGTAATTGGATTGGGTTCAGAGTCAGACCAATGCACAATGCAAGTCCAAGCAGATAAATAAAACATTTCTTAGTCCAATAATGTTTAATTAAATGATTTACCCAATCAGAAGTCAATAACCATTTAGATAATTCATTCTTAGCCTTATGTGTTTATTCCCAATAGAATAATCAGGATAAATCAATGATGCAATGTTTCAAAGGATATTGCATTTTTGGACAGAGCATTGATATTAAATCGTTCTGTAGAGCCCATAAAAATCTTCATGATATCTTTCAGTGTAGTGGCAGTGTGATGGTCTGGGGCAGCATTGGGGCGCTTTTAGCTTCTTTAACTAGGTTTGGTTATTAGCTAACAGCTAATAGACTTGTTTAAAAGGAATCTCTGGTCATATTTTAGCAGTCAAAATGTAAAGGAGCAGAGTAAATTCATGGTTAAACCCTTATCGAGATAAAGTTTATATCAACTTTTATATCAAGCATTTGGTTCGCTACCATTTGGCTTCACTAAAGCTTATGTCCAAATTAATTCTTATTTATCTTGATATACTGTATAAATCTCGATATACTGTATATACAGTGCTTGCTTGTTTATTCTTAATGCACATTTTTCCTCCTTGTTTGCACCTTCTTTAATTACTATGCCAATATGTGACCAGTGAATTTGTGCTGTGATTAATAAAGCTCATCTAATCTAATCTAATCTAATCTAATCTAATTAAATATCATGGTTTATGGCATAATGAAGTTCATAAAAAACAAATACCCAAACAAACCCAGATTTCCTTACCTTTACTGTTGTATAATGTATAGATCAAAAGCTCCTAAAACTCTCACTGTTTAAAGAAAAGGAGAAAATAATGACAAATTTTTTTTTGAACCAATTGTAAAAGCTCTTTTTAATTTTTAGCAGTGGTGGGCATATATATATATATATATATATTTATATATATATATATATATATATATATATATATATATATATATATATATATATATATATATATATATATATATATATATATTTCTTTTATAGAATAACCTCACTGTAATCTTGGAATTAATCTAGATTAATTTTCAATTCTGCCAAAGACATTCATGATATGTTTGCTACCTAAATAAGTAAAGGTAAATCTTTGAACAGGTTTGTATCATATGAACCTCTAGTCCTAGAAATAAAATAGGTAAATAAATACCACAGAAGCTACATTTTCAAAAAGCTTCCCACTTTAACCACATTCACCCAAGCAATCATCAAGAAGCAAACCTAATGTGGTAATCATTTGTGGTGTCCTGGTTAAATGAAATTTAAAATGACACAACATAACGTACCTAAAGCAAACTTCTCTTATTTCGCTGCTTTCTGCACGGCATGCTGGTCATGTATTCTAATGATAGTTCGTCTCGCAGGTAGTATGTAAGACTGACCTGTAGCCGCTTGGAGAACAATCTTGAGCCCATCATCTTCAACCATGCTGATGGCGGCAACTGGTGGCAATCCACTGAGCAAGTAGATTAGTTAAAGTGACTGATAGAACTGTGCTGAGGAGCTTGACTCGGTTGCACTCAAACATTGTAGTTTGATGAACACGACTCTTCCCCAGAGCTACATGAGTGCTTGGCCCAGCCGGCATCTTCCACGTTGGCAAAGGGATGCTTTGCGTTTAGGTGGTACTTGAGACTGGAAGAACTCCTGCAGTAAACTAATTCCGCATTTCACAAGATGCAAACAGCTTTAGTCCCGTCGAGGTTCCCATTGGGAAACTTCCCTGAAGCAAACCTGGCGCCTTTATAGCTGCATCCATGTCAGCATGTCACTTTCAATGTGATAATTTCACAGTGCGCCTACACCGGTTGGAAGACTGATTTGTTCCCGCCCCCAGATAAATATTTCTGCTAAAATATCAACGTGAAAGTCATAATAGCTGACTTAGAATAGACCCAGCTTCCAAACCAACAGTGGGAATAGATTAAAGGCAATATTTTTATTGCCTGATAAGACTTTGGTGTTTTTTTTCATAGTCCTGCCTGGCAATTTGGCAATAAAAATAATTGTCTTGATGCCAAAAAGAGCCCAACAGATTTTGCTCTCACAAGTGGAGCAGTACGGATATCGCCATTGTGTTCTGCTTGATTTATGCATAAAAATAGCTTTATTATAAATCATGCAGGGAGTATTACAGATTATATGGACACTGCAATGTAAGTAGAAAGAGTTTGATATTAACACAGTATGTCAACGCCGATAAAGGCCCACCTCTAATTTATAGTAATTTGTTTATTTGTTGTCTGTCACAATTTTTTTTGGAAGGAGCAACTCAGGTGAAGAGACATCTTTTAGGATAATCAGTGTTTTAGAGTTAGTTTAAAATTATTTTTTTTAATTTAAAGATACAGAAGAAACAGTGTTGATTTTTTATTTTGTTTTCTCTTTATAGTTTCTGTCTAAAGGGGGAGGGTCTGGACGACAGCTGCCCTGCTGTCATCGACTACACCCCTTACCTGAAGTTCACACAGAGGTATATGCACTGAAATGATTCGCATCAGACATACTTAAGACACTACGGTTCAGTTACTAAACCCTACTGCTGGTAATACCGGTACCTTGGTTATTCCTACTCATTTAGGACTGTTGACCTTAGACGTGTTTTAATGTGGTTGAATCACCATTGAGCTGAAACAACAAAAATAACATTGCTTCAACTTTTTACAGAGACCATTAGATTGTAATTGGAATTCCCCCGTTAGTTCAAAAAGATCATTAAGCAATGCACTATAACAATATTCTAAGGCATTCAGAGAAACAGGCCCATATTAGTAGAAACATTTCACCAAAATTTTCATCCAATATTTTCCACAAAGGCATCCTTGTTTGCATCCAGTTAAAATTTCAGGAACATTTATTAAACGTTACATTTCTGATAAATGGAAAGGGGGGGGGGGGGATCTTTTTGCTGACATGCCTCCTAAACTGTCTTGGATGTGACTCCATCACCAGATGGCAATCTTTGCTGCTCTGAATATTTTAGGGGTGGCAATAACATTCAAAGGATATTTTCCTAATGGAAAATGGAAATGGAAAAAATTATATTTGTAAAATTTTGAGTGTTAAGAATATGCTACTGTTTATATTTTTGCATAAATAAAAAATGTTAAGGATGTAATAAATGGTAAACAGTGCAAACTGTATTATTGTAGTTAAAATGTAGTGAAAATACAATACTTTTTGCTGACCAATTTGAAGAAATAAGTCAATAGAAATCCAGTCTTTTACATGCCAGCAAATGAAAAAACTCCACTTGATCTGCTTTCAAGGAGGAAGATTGAATTGGACAAAGGGTCAGACCTGTCAGTATGCCGGACATGAATGCATACTAATGTGTGGCTGGGTTTGCTTCCCTGCTTAGTGCAGACAGCATCAGCAGCGATGAGGAGGAGATGAGGACTCTGGGAAGTAGCGGCAGTGAGAGCAGCACTCCTGACAAGACAGCCACCGCTGCATCAATCTTCACAGAGCAGAGCACTTTGTTCAGCAAGTGCAAACGCTTTGAGCAGAAGTATCGCATGGCTCTGGAGCAGAAGGTGTGTTGTTCTGTGCTGAAGAGGCTGGATGACCTTAGCCTGCCGGTGTGACATTTTGTTAGGAGCATGCATATTGATGAGCTGGATGTTTTTTAAAAATGCAGAGCCAACATTCTGTAAAGATCACAGATTTGAAACCAGCTCCTACAGCATCAAAAATGTGACTTTTATGTGCTTTTTGTCTGTTGTGGAAACAAACGTCTCAAATATGCATAAATTCAGCAGTGTGTTCTTTGGGATTAAACCAACAGGCATGTTTGTGTGCCTGTGTTTGTTTGCCCACTTCAGGGTTACCTGGAAGAGTTGGTTCGTCTACGGGAAGCCCAGCTGTCAGAGGCTGTTTCACACAACAAAGCCCTTCATCAGAGCCTAGCAGACACACATCTCTCCCACACACTGGAGAAACAGCAGCTTGAGTATATCATAGTGGAACTGCAGAACCAGCTGTGCGTCTCCTTCAGAGGGTTTTTGCGTGTGTGTCTTGAAGCATGTGCATGCGTGAAGGCGAATCAGTGGGGAGCTTTTCAGCAAATCTCAGTGCAAACTTGGCATTTATGTTCTGAACCTTGTGGGTCTGTGTACTCGCCTGCAGTTTGTTATGACTGGCTTAGTGCCATAACAAATAAAGAGAGACCACACCACAAGCAAAGGTGCAAACAAAAAATACGTATAATTCAATTCAGTTTCAATCCAGTTTATTTATATAGTACCAATTCACAGAACATGTCATCTCCAGGTACTTTAAAGAGACAATTCAACCAGATCATACAGTCAAATTGATTCAAAGTTTTCTATCTAAGGAAAACTAACTGGTTATATTGACTCATTTACTCAAAGACAATCCCTCACACCAAGAATGCTTGTAGCGACAGTGGAGAGGAAAAATTCCCTTTTAACATGAAAAAACCTCCAGCAGAACCAGGCTCAGTGTGAGCGGCCATCTGCTGAGGCTGACTGGGGTTCAAGGAGACAGAAGCAGAGACACAGAAAGAAGCAGAGATACAAAAGGCAACTGTGAACCAGCTCCACAGGTGGCCTCATCTAGGAAATGCACAGCCAGGCAGATGAGCTCCGAACCAGCTCCCATGTCAGAGGATGAAGAGAGCACATACAGTCAATCACAGTCAGAGAAACAGGAAGCAGAGTGATCCCTAAAAGATGCAGGACAACTGGAATTGGGTGTTTCTTCCAGAGTTTATCTGTATTAACTTGATTCATCTTCCCATCAACTACGTATGACTCGCCTTCCAGCTCCTGAAGATAAAAATCATGCCCACTGCATGATGCTGACACCACCGTGTTTCGCTGTGGATGAAGTGTGAAGTTTTTTGTCTTATTCCGTGTCCCCCATATTACTTGTGGCATACCTGACTTCCTATCGCTTTCCTTTCCAAACTCTTTTCTTGTTGCTACTTGACTTCAGATGTCTGAAGTTCACAATCTATTTTTGTCTGGTAAAAGGATTATCTTGCTTGCTTTTACAGTTTAACAGTTCTTCGTAAAGTGATGGAAGCTTTTCATGTTATTTCACGACCTAGCTGTGCTTTAGAGATCTCAGAAGCATCTCTAATCTATTTGCTGTGTTTCTCCCTCTTCATTACGCTGTTGTCTTATTTTTTTTTAGCAAAGCTGCTTGGGAGACAGAAACAGAACAGCTAGATGTATTTAAAATTCAATCACACACACAAGTGGACTGCAACCATGTTTAGGTGACAGTCCAATGGGCCTGGATTTTATTAAGGAATATTAGGGTGAAGTGGCTCAAATAAAAACATATGCCACACTTGACAAATTTTTGTTTAAATAAAAAGAGAAACTATGTTGTCATTCCTCTTCATTGCAGCGCTCTATGTTTAGTCGGCCTATCACATAAAATATCACACTAATATGTTTGCTTGTGAAACCAAAAAGGTTATACAAGGAACTGAATGTTTTTGTGTTAAATTAGATTATTTTCATTCACACATTTCTTTCACTCTTCCATTCTCTAAAACCCTAAACTCATTCGGTCATTGTCTAAAAATGCACTTAATGTTTTTATTGCTTTTATCAAGTTCTGTTTGTCTTTGTTTGATATTTTTAACCACTGTACAGCACTTTGGATAAATTAGTTTTAAATTTCCTCTATAGTTGAAATACATGTCGATCCTTAAAACACTTGTAGCACCAAAATACCTGAATCTTAACTGAACGTTTTGTTTTAATATTTAATCTCCTTAACATGATGGATTCAAAGCTGAGCTATACAAGCTGAATATCTACAGAGATGCATGTATTCCTTCCTGAAATGTTTAGAAATGTTGTTGGGACTTGTAACCTGGGCTTTTTGGGATGTTATCAAAAGATTTTAGAAGGGGATGGAAATAATTCAGATTTATTATATTTATATTTATTTAGACTTATTATATTTATATTATATATATATTTTTTTTAATTTTCAGGACTGTGCTGAAAAACAACGATTTGCGTTCCAGGCAGGAATTAACAGCCCATCTGACCAATCAGTGGCCGTCTCCAGATGCCTTGGATGCTAATGCTGTTGCCTTGGATACGCTCTTGTACAGGAAAAGCACCGGGCAATGGGAGGAGTAAGTAATATTTTTTAAATCATCAGTTCCTCCCATTCATGCACCAAACATGCTCAGAATGTCATTAATTCCCATATTTTCCTTTTAAAATATAATTCAGTTGAAATATTACTAAAACACTTAACAAAAGGAACAAAACCCCCTTATCTCAGAACTTAAACACTGAAAGCATCGTTAAGGTGGCCACAAAACAATAAAAGGACACTTAATCCACCGTCAATCTTTGTTTAAAGTGGAAGGTTTTCTGGCTTTATGCACAATTATTAAGAAAGAATTGCATGTTTGAAAGTCTCTTTGTGCTTTTGTCCAATGCTTGCGTTATGATAAAGGGTTCCTACACAAAGATGGGATCCAAATTGCATCACAATTTTAGATCTATGTCCTGTTTAACAAATAGCATTTCCTAATTTATTGAATCCTACTATATTGTAATTAAGTTGAACTGGACAGTGTGTAATCATGCTACATTCACACTGCACATAATTTCAGCAGCGAAGAAGAGTCTATTACTTCTTTAGTGATGCTTGTCCACATTAAGGTCAGAGCAGCTTGACGTTCCTGAAGCGCATCCAGTAAAGTGTGTCCAGATGCATCTAATGCTTCTGCTGCTTCTGTGTTCAGCGGTAGAGAGCAGCTTTGCTATATTTGCTGTGAAAAGTTGGTAAAAAGTAGTTTTAACATGTTTTCAAGTGAGAAAGCACTCCTCAAAAATCCTGCCTTATATTATTTTGCTGTTGGAGCCGCCCAGACCCTCACATACCGGTGGTGTGCTGTCACTGGGAATCCGCAGCAGCAGCTGCCTCAGGCCAGGACGCTTCTTGGGGCCTTTCTCCTGCGACTGGAGATATATGTATCTCCAGGTGTGTGGTACAAACTGCAGGCACTAGGATAATAAAATCGAACATATTTTGCCGGCAGGTTTTGAAATTTTAAGTTAATTTAAGTGTTAATAAACATTTTAGGAGGAGATGATCATAGCGCTCTGCATCAGCAGCTCTGTGTCTGTCTCCCTGCCAGCACATCCAGATCCCCTTCTCTGATTGGTTGAATTGGCCTGATGGTATTCTAAGGCTTGCAAAGTTTTCATTTTGAAACCTAATCATATAACAAGGACTGACACTTATATGTTTTTGTCTCTAGGTGGCATCTGTTGGATTCACACATTTGGCATCAAATCCCTCATTTTCTGGAACACTAAATTACCATGATGATACTTGTATACAGTTGACTAAAAAACTGGACATTTTTAAGTCTTTAAGTAATATAAATATTACACCACACCTTGTTTGATACACAATTCTCTCCCTTGGCTGCTTTTTTATGATTTCTTCATTATGTCACGTTGTTGTAACATTTAAAGTGTCCGCATTTAACTCAAATGTTATAATTTCAACTTTTGGACGCTTAAATGGTAAATGGCCTGTACTTATATAGCACTTTTTCAAATCAGAGGATTTTACATTACATTCAATCATTCGTGCACACACTGATGGTGGCAAGTTACATTGTAGCCACAGCTGCCCTGGGGCTCACTGACAGAAGTGAGGCGGCCATACACTGGTGCTACCGGGCCCTCTGACCACCATCATTAGGAGCATTCACAGGTCATTCAAAATCATAGTCATAATCATTACATTTTTCACTTGGATTATTTAAAAAAATCTCCAAAACACCTATAGGTATACTTGCATTTAGCAATTAAGATAACTTAGTTAGTTCTGTTTGACATAAAGCAGGAAAAGGATCAGTTTGATTTTATGTTAAGCCACAGTTTTTGTTTCATTTTCTTCCAGAAAGAGTTTCCAGAGTCTGGAGCAGCTGTCTGCAGGGATGAGCCTCACATCAAACACACAAGGCATGTCTCCTCTTATAAAAGCAAAGACCTTTAAACCATAACTTGGACATTAGATGTGCGTGCTTTTTCTTTCAGGTAAAGAGGAAACGCCATCTCTCAGAGGTCTGTGTGGCTCACTGACCTCCGTAGCCAGCTATAAATCTCTGGCCAGCTTGAAGTCCAATGAGGGTTTGGCCAGCGCTGCGACAGAGTTTAGCAGCCCGGGTGTTACTCCATCATAGGATTTATGACGGCTCATCAGATCAAGCAATTCAGGAACTTTGCTCATGCCAGTGATGCTGATATTATTTCTTCTGTTTCTGAATGTGGAGCGTGAGCTGAAGATGACCTGATGGCACTAAGAGACTGAACATTGTCCCAGCTTTGTCAAGTGTTCAAATTATGTCGCTGCTTATCTGTGTAGCTTTATTTCTCCCCAGCTTTGGAAACAAAGTGAATCGATTTTAAAGATGCAGTATCAATTCCAATCTCCTGTGTCAATGTTGCAAAGATCATTTTTAGAGAATACAGCAAATACTCATCAAAACACATCAGATCAGCTGCTACTTTCAAGCAGCCTAAATGGAGCACTGCTCTGGTTAAAATACTGGGTCTTTAATTAAGATGTTTGTCTTTGTTTCTTTTTTTTCATCAGTGTTGTTTGATATCGTCTCACAATTCTGTTCTCAGGTAACCACCCTGCACCTATGTATTTTCATTAAATACCAAGATGCGGTATTTCAGTTTTATGGTTAACTATTGGTTAATTATATATAATCTCTTTTTAAATGTCTGCAATGGAGTACATGCAAAACTCAAAACACCTGCATCAGGACATCAGTATGAAGTCATTTGAATTCATGGTCACTAGCAGTTCACTTCAGCACTTACAGTATTTGCCTTAGGCTTATTCCAGCAGACATTTGAACAGACATCAAACTGATATTTTTGTTGGATTCATTTGCATTTTTTATTTTAAATAAATTCCACTTGCTTTCCAACTTGACAATTTCAGATGTGTGTTGATGTCCACGTGAAGAGATGGAGGGGTGGGGAAACTTTTATGAAACCAGAACACTTTCATAAAGGTCTTTTGGCGAACTGTTTCCAGTCATCCCTCTGCTTCACACGATCAACATGGCTTCTGGGTGACAAGCAGCAGGTTAAAAACGATCATCAGCAAAGTGCGATTCCAGAGGAAGGCCACATGTTTGGAGACTCAGTAAAAACCAATCTGTGGCTGCCATCTGCTGGCAACCTGTAATCTAGACTTCTTTTTTTCAACATGAACAAAATAATTAATTTGATCACAAAATAAAATATAAACACTTTAAGGTATTTATACATTTATCTGACTAGAGAGGCTTGGATAGTTCACTTGCCTTATTTCTGAGTTTATGATTGTTAGATTATTTTCTCTATGTTTAAGCTAGCTGTGACCGTTGTGATGGTTGTTTCACGGGGAACACAATCACGTGTTTGTGGACTGCAGTTGCCCAAGTATCCTCTCCTGGTTGTGTTTACGGAAAAAGGCTTTACCAAACTCATACGAGCTGATCATGATCGCACAGGCTGGAGCCACTTTGATCACCCTTGGTAGGAAACCTGACGGGCAGAAAACACTCATTAAATTTAGGTTTTGATATCATGTTGCGTATGCAGACAGCCAGAATGAAGATGGATTCATATCAGAGACGTACAAACCTGCAAAAAGCCCACGAAAACCATCTTGTGTCACAATCTTCTTCATGATGCTGAAAGTGGATGAGGAGACCTGACCTGACACTGAAAAAAAGCAGGAAGCAATCATTAGATAAATGGTTTTAAGCTTCGAGTTAAAGGTTTGCTATCACTTAGTGTAGGTATGGATATCGTGTTATTAGGGAATATTAAAGGTGCTTTAAGCAGTGCTTCTTTGATGCAGATTGTACCTTAACCTATCCCAGGATCATCTTGGTTAAATTCCTTCACCTGAAAAAACTGATTCCTCTATGCTCCATCTTGCTCAAATGTTTTATTTATTTATTTTTTAAGTAAAGTACTTTAGTTTATTCTGATTTTCTGGACGGTAGAGTAGCAAAACTCCTAAATAAATATATTTAATATAAATATTGCAGGGCTCAACATAGAATGAGTACTTTTTCATTTTCATTAGAATAAAAAAACAAAACAAGTGGGAAAAGAACTGGTTTAAAGGATTAATGGAGTCTGTTTTTTAGAGCTATCAATCAGTGAGAGAGCCACACAAAGGTGGTTTCATCCCAGCCCATTAAGGTTTTGACTTGTGACCCTAATCACTGTCACATGTTAATGATCTGGCCCCTGGGTGTTTAAGCATGCCTGTCATGTGCTACTCATGCAACCCTAGAGGTGTATATAGAGCACCCAAACTGTCCCTTATTAATCAATAAATAAGGGTATAATTACAATTATTGACGTGTAGCTCCCCCAGCTCCACCTGCCGTCTTGTTTTGACCACATCAAATGGTAAAGTGACAATAGCTGCGATCTAAGAGCAACAACGAGAATCAGCTGATTTAATTTAAACATTTTTCCATCAATTCCAACGTGCCACTAGATGGTGGATCAGCGGTACTTACAGAACCTGACCCAGCTCCGGATACGAAAGTGATGGTGAACGTGGGCTCTCTGGTGTTGTACCTCTGGCACAGCCAGCCTTTGCCCCTCTCGTAGTTGTACCAGTACATGGCTGAGAAGGGCACGTCTCGGAGCAGGGTGGGCCCAAGACCCCTCCACAGAGAGAGCCAGCCTTCCGTCTGCACTGCAGAGCAGATGCAGTTGGTCAGCTCCCTGTACGACTGCTTCTGGGACTGCAGCTTGGTGCGGATCAGCTCCAGAGGGCTGATTACAGTCGCAGACCCCACTGAGACAGAGGGAAATTAAAGGTTACTATATTGTCTTCTTTTCTCTGGGGCCGTTAAAATCACAAAGAAGCATTCAGAGTAACGTTGATATCAGAAAAGAAGTTAGGTTCAAGGAAAATTTTTAATTAAAAAGAGATAAAGTTGATCATGATTGAATTACATTGTTATTTCACCCTGATTGCAATACTCACCTAAAGGCGGTTATTAAGCTGAGAATCAGATACATTGGATTATGGCAGAGAAACTTCTCATGTATAATGAGATCAGTGTGGGATTAGATTGATTCATCAAGCCGGTGTTAAAGGCCAAACTGTGCTGAAGCATGCCCTCAGACACCATTCAGGAAATTAACTACCACCCACTAATTACATATCATATTAAAAAAGCTAAAAAAAAAAAAAAACGCAGCTTCACACACCTAAGCTGAACATCTAGATTTTTTTTTTTTACTTTGAGTATTTCTAAAAGATAGATTTCAGCTGAGTATCTGATGGGACGGTGGTGAGCTCACCTCTAGCGATGGCTCCCGCTAACAGCGGAGCCTCCTGGGCTCGCTCTCCCATCCTCATCCTCAGCGCTGCACACAGCTGATCATAACACGTGAAATAGATCACTGTGGCTGGGACCGCCATCACACTGGAACCACAACAAAATACGGGAAGTTAAGATCTACCAATACCTTTTCCCTTCATCTCAGATGGGAAAAGGTCAAACCCCTCGAGATCAGAGTTTAAAAAGTCATATTTTAATCCTTTATAGGGCACTCAGAGAATTCTTTGAAAATCAAAATTCCAAGCCAATAGTGTTGTTGGAATCTAGTAGAAGACCTTATTACCTTTGTAACTTTCAAAAAGTATGAATATTTTGATGGCAAAAATGAATGTCAATGTAATAACAAGAAACGCCAACTTGCACGAATATATTAAGAAAAATAACAAAGAAATTCATGAAAAACATTTTTTTTTTTGGTACAACATAACCTTAGAGGCATTAAGGCTGATACTGGTACTTACATTCTTTTTGGTTTATAAACCTATATAATTATTAATTAGGCCTATTACCTTTTTAACTTTTCAATTTTTTTTGACTTGTTAACTTTTTTTCCCAGCTTGATTTCCAGTAGGTAATATATCATTCAAGGGCTCATCTAATTGGTTAAATGCCAAAATAAGACGCACAGCCATATAGCAGTATCTTTGCTGACAAGCTGGATATAGATCTTGTGCTTCTAGACCTCACTGAGGGAGGGGGGGACTCCATTTGTAAGGGGTATGCAAGTGATCAAAAACGTTAACTTGCCATATAAAGGGTTATAGAAAAATATGTTACACTAATTATGAGGAAAATGATAAAGCAGATAAGGCCTTTTTTACAAATATTACATCAATTATTAAAATTTGAAAGTTAAACAGCCACATTAAGGCCTTCATCATGGTGAACCAGCATTTACACCACAAAATCGGAGGCAACCAGACTTTTTCAGTTTTTCTGAGACGTTCTCACACCTATCCACGAGTTTTGTCAGAGTACAAGCAGAAATGGCGGACAGAGACTCCGGGATAAGAGCTGAAACATCTTCAGAAAAAACCGAGCCTCTGAATTAAGCCTGTTTGTGTTTGATGTGACATGGAGGACTGAGAATATGCATACACTGGCCACTAGCATTTAAGGTTCAGAAAACTAATGTTTTCCAGAAACTAGAAACTGAAGTTAAAGAACGAATAGGTGGATGGATGGATGAATCTGTTAGAAAATATTCTGAATATTTCCTGTTTACTTTCCCAATACTTACCGTAACCTGAAAAAAGAATCTTAAAGGCCACGAAAATTCCAAATTTCTCCAAAAGTTTGAGGAGTTAAAATACTCAGGAGCAGAATATGTATAAAAAAAAAAAAAAAAACATAGGAGAAATCATACTCACAGTGTCGGAGGCAGACCGCTCCATAAAGCTGTAATTCCCTCACAGCACACTATCTTATAGAAGGCATCCTGCAGAGAAGCAGAGTGAGAGGTTTTAAGACAAAATCAGGCTGTTTGTTCACAGCATGCACACAGAGACAAATTCAAACCAGAACATGGAGCTCACACTGAACTAAAAACATTTCTAAAGCATTTATTGTAACCAGTGTGCTTGTGTGAAAACTTACGAGCGTGCCCCTAAAGTGACCGGCAGCTTTGTACCAGCCCTTGCTGTTTTCGCACACACATATATGGTCCATAAGTCCATTGCAGTAGACAAAATATTTGCCTTTAAAAGTAGAAGTTTACAAATTCAAACACAAAATACACAGTAAAAGTAGTTTATTACTAAATATAAGACAATCTCAAAAATGTACCTTTGACCAAAGGATTTTTCTGTGCTTGCAGTCGCGTTTTCACCACATCCAAAGGAGTTACTGGAAAAAAAAGCAACTCAGGATGAACCACACAGATAATCAGGTTATCTTAGACCTATTAGTCTCCATGCAAAATGTAATGTATAAAATCCCTTTCTATATAAAAAATCCCTCTTTGTATCTTATTTGTGTCTTATATTATTATCTATATTGCTAGAAATATAATCCCAACTTTTCATCAATAAAACCTCAGTTGGACAATAATCTATGTCATATAACACACATTGTGTCAATGCAGCAGAAGTGTTTGTTAAAAACTAGATACAGCCTTACTGCTTCCAGAGGACTTAAGAGGATAAGCAGTGGCCTGGTGCATCTTATCCAATCACACTGATTAACTAATTATTAGTGGGTGTGATCTCCTCTAAAAAAGCAAAAACTTGCCAGATTTGGTTGGTTAATGTGGGGTTTAAGGTTTTGTTGTGCAGTTTAAAGTCCCAGAAGAAGGACAATAAGTGAGACCCAAAAGTAGCTCCTCATCCATCAGATTCTTTGACAAACGTATGCAATAAGTTATTTGAATTTTTCTGGTCATTGTAATAATAATGTTAAATGTGCATTACAGTCCACTATCCCAATTTTAAAATCACAGAGACCCTCAATTTTTTGTCCATATTACGTTTAACAAAAGTAAGCAATTACACATCTCACTCCAACTCTTTAGGTGGTGGCAACATTCTTAAAGTTGGTTTGCTGCCACACTGAAGGGAAGAGTGGGATGCAGCTAGCACACAAAATCATGCATGCAGGCAGAATCTAGCATTTCTTTTTCACACAAAGGTTACAGTTAAGTTCTGTAACAATGGATTTTTGACAAGCAAGCTTTCAAGGTCATGAAAAAACCTAAACCCTGGAGTAATTTACATCATTGTGGTTGGTGCAAAGAAACTTTGAAATAAAATCGCAATTGCAATATTGGTTTAAAATAATTGCAACTACATTATTGTCAGAATTGTTCAGCCATACTGTCCACTGAATGATCTGTGATATATCCATGTGATATCTGTATCTGTTCCAGACAAAAACTTGCTTTATTATTCTGCTAAGAAATATACTGTCTATAAATACATTTCTGTACTGTTAGGATAATTATCATTGAAGATGTGTGAGTTTATTACACCCTGGTATGGGCTGCCTGTTGCGCATCAGAACTGACATTTTAATCTAATTAGAACAGATCCTCCGTCAGGATATACAGTTATAATGTTAATTTTGTACTTGGCAAAGATTTTAAAATGGAATGAGAGTAGTGTCCTTCAGCTAAGAACAAAGTGTGATATTTTGATAGAATGTCTAATCATCTGCTAATGTGTCTGATGTAAAATAAGATGATGTAGCAGACTGGAGATGTATAAAATGCCTTTTTAACTATTAATCTGGGCCACTTCCTGATTGGTGAGCCAAGAGGTGAGCAGCTGCCTTCTGTATATTCTAAGCAATTTCTCTGATCTAAGTAAGATTACAATTTCTATCAAAATCTGTTGTCATGTCTCCTGGTTATTTAATACATAGAAGTTATGAAATGTAATTTTCTTTTCAAGAAAAAGATCTGGAAAGATAGAGCACCAGGGTGCATACATAGAGCCTATATATCATAGTACATGTTTTATTTTATATCATATATTCTTGTCTATTTCAAAGATTATTCCACCATTTATTAGTGCATTTAAATATATATATTTGTTGTTTTCTGCCTTGTTAGTTTTTATTTATAAGGAGATAATTTCCCTACTGATGTGTAAAGGCTTATTTATTGTATCTGCACTTTAAAATGTATGCCTCTAATGGTTGAAGATTGATACATTTTCACATCAGAGCAAAGAGGAATGGAGGTGATTAGCCTATTTTTAATCAAGGAAGGTGCCAATTACCGGTTAATCATGTTTTTCTTCTACCTACTGCATTCTTCACGTTTTGCCAGTTGGGTGCAAAGAATGACTCATCAAAAATAAAACCATGAACCATACGATTTAAAAGGAATAAACGCTTAAAATTAACTCTAGTCATATAATCTAGAGAAGCACCTGTAAGTAAATACCTAACAATAGCAGGTTTTACGTAAAGGGTAAGCTGCACTATTTAAGGCACCAAAGCAGGTGTTAGGAGATAAGTATCTGACTAAATAATCCATGTATAAACAGATGTTTAATATAATGGCAGGATTTCTCACCGAGTAGTGATGTAAGCAGGGCTCCGGAGCAGGAAGAAATCATCTGCTGGATTGGAGTAATGCCTTCCATGGCAGGAGAGGCAACACTTTGACGACTCATTTTGTCTTTTCAAAAAAATAAAATAAAAAAGGGATATACAAAGTTTATACGCATTTATGCATATCCGACACTGCTTGCTATAACGACTTTATTACTATGTTATTAAACGACCATCGTAGCCATTATATGGAGAGGTCTTTGGCTAACCGTAGTTAGCCGCTTGCCTTACTTAACCACCTACCTTTTAAAACACAAAACCACAAACGACGTCTTCAATGAAGTCAATCATGGTCCCGTTTAGGGGTTTTATCTTCAAATAACACGATAGTGAATCCTGTCCTAAAGGCTATAATAGAAAGCCATAAATGAAACACGTGTGTAGGATCAGGGGGTCATAACCCAAAACTAGCAAGTGTGTTTACACCGCAAACGGTACAAGATGACATAACAAAGCGGCACGGACCGGCAGATTCAACATATTATTTTTCATTATTTAATCATATAAAAATAATATTAGAAAATGTTTAATTTGGGTTGAAATTTGAAAAACAGGACTTTATCCGATTTATTTTTTTAAAATTCCATCTTATGTAGCGAACTGCGAAGAAACAGCACATTTAAGCAAAAGGAATGAGTTTACGTAAGTTTGGGGTTGCCAGGTTATAGGAGTTTCGATGAAATGACACAAGGAGAAATATAGATTGCTGTATGGATCAAACACTCTGGTAAGCTATTTTGTTTTCAAACAAATTCCTACTATTGACATTCCTGTTTTATATTGTTCTTATCATATTGCTTTAGTAATGGGATAAAGAGAACCATATTTTGTGACCGGAAACTAAGAGACCTGGCAACCCTGAGTTGACACACCGGATTTAAAAGCGGGAACCGACCGTTGGGAGGAACGTGAAGATAAAAGTATATAGTTGATAGTTTTGATGCAGAAAGTCACCGGGCACTCAAATTTCCTCAATTAAACAAAGAAAGAAAGTCTAGTTAGTTCAGCTATTTAACTTTTTATAATAACAATAACAACACATATCGTGTAGAGCACTTGTACAGCCTCCACCGAGTTTGGATTAGAAACCCGGATACATTAGATTTAAATGGTGGGCATGTCGTTGTAACCTTTATATAAATATGATTCTAAATTAGTTTTTTTTTTCTTCTGTTTTTGTTTGTTGAAAACTCCCAAGTCCGTCATACACACTGAGCTGAGGACTGTGTGGGTTAAGAAGGACACGGTCTTCTTTTGTTTTTCTCTGTGAGAAAAAAAAAAAATGAAACCGAAACAGGGTCAGAATCATCATCAGAGTCCTGGACCCAACTGGCAAGGTACAGTCTTGTTTGTTGTTTTTTGCAATATTTTTTAGCTATTTTTAGGTTTTCCAGTATAGATTCCACAGTTGTTTTTTTTTTTTTTTTTTTTTTTTTTTACACAAAATACAAATTGACATTTACACATTCAATACGCCTGCTATGGCTTAAAATTATGGCAACTCAGGGAATTAAAAAATATAACTTAAAATAACAACTGAGTTCAGCCAAAACAAGATAGAATTTCCTAAGCAAATTCATATTGAACTTTTAACTTTGCAACAAATACTCGTTTGCAAGCCTTTCTTACACTGTGTACAGCAGTCTTGATCGTTTTATTTGGGCATATTTGTAAGTTTTCTCGACTCTGACTGCTTTTATAACTATTCATTTGTCTGCTGATATTTAAAGTAACATTTCATGGCTTTAGCTGGTAAGTTATGCTGTATCAGCTGCTACAGTTATTTAACTTAAACCATATGTTTAACAAACGAACACTTATGCTATTAAAAATTAAATGAAAAAGGTAAATAAGTAAAAAAAAAAAAACATAAATTTTTTGGTGGTTTCATCAGTTTTTTAAAATATCTTTAAGCAGAGCAGCAGCAGTTCAGCCTTTTGCTGGTAAATCATTTATTTATTACATACATTTCCTGATGTTGCTGTTTTTAGTTATTATTTTACATAGATTTATGGAAATATACATTAAAATCTACTAATTTTATTAGGTTTGAATTATGTATACAACAGAATACTTATAGTTTGCCGGCTTTAGTTTTAAATAAACAGTTCTTTAATAGGTGGTGGGGGAAGTTGGTTTCAGCAAGGGCTGAAACAATTAATTATGTTAATGAGATTAATCGTGATTAACTAATTATTCAAATAATCATCAACTAATTTAGTAATCGATTAATCTTTAAATGGAGTACAGAGACTGTAAAATACACCTTTAGCTGACATTGCGACCCACTTAGTGCAGTGCAGCAAGTTATCAAAATAGTAAAAAAGTATTTTAATATTTTGCATTTAAGAAAAAAAAATGTTGTCTGTCAATATGTTCTCTCCAGAACTCCACTAGTGGAAAAGACTTAGTTTCACCTGGTTTAATTTCGTAAAAATTCTTGCTTAAGAAACCTTTGGCTATCTGATTATTGATTAATCAAAAAAATATTCGACAGATTAGTCGATTTGAAAAATAATGCAAAAATAGTTGCAGCCCTAGCTTCAACAAAATTCATGACTATTTTCCAGGTTACGTTAGTTTAAAGTTGATATTTTTATGTCTTTTTTTTTTTTTTTCAAAATGACAAAATGGCACCTTCTAGATGGCAATCTGTGCATTAAATCTTATGAGTGAGGAGAAGTGGTTCTTTTGTTTTTGAAATGTCACCACCACAAAACCTTTTAACAGTTTTTAAATGTTTTACTTTAGGAAAGGCTGTGGATGAGAAGACCTCAGTGAGCAAGGCAAAGCAAACTTCTAAAGTATCATCTTCAGCACATGTCAAACCTTTTGCTGGGAAAGTGTTTTACCTCGATCTACAATCCTCCAAAACAGCAGAGACACTGGAGAGAGACATCAAGCATCTGGGTGGGGTAAGAAAACTCACTTATTTTTGTGTTTGAACGGTCTGTGAGTTCTCTTGTACAAGACTTCCTTCTGAATATCCTCCTGCTTTTCTCCATTACCAAATATCTCTCTGCCCATCAGTGTTGTTTTTGAAAACCATCTTAGATTTACCGGTAGTCTTAGTCTTCAGGATGAAAACTTTATTATTCTTAGTCGCATTTTTATCATAATGATATGTGATAGTTTTAGTTGAATAAAACTTGAAAAGGTTTGAGTCTAGTTTTAGTCAGTTTTATGTTACAAAAAAAGTGACTTTTACAATTTCAAATAACAGATTCTTCAGACTGACAGCCCTTTCCAAGATACTACAATTGCTGGATATAGAATGCTTCTGTACAGTTCATTATTGCTCTAGGCCAGAAAACTTTTATTTATAGAATTCAAATAAACTTTTTTATGAATTGAATGCCCTACTTTATACAAAAGAGTTTCACAAAAGTTTTGAAAGTAGGAGATTTAGTTCAACACATCATATTGATTAATATATCAGACAGACAAGCTAACAAAATGTACAAAAAAGGAATGGTTTTATACATACAATGTTTCCATCCCGATGCAAATACTCCCTAATCTACTATGAATTATGCATTACACACAGATCAATAAAATCTTCATTACTCCAAACAAGCAAAGAAAAAAAAAAATTCCTCTTTCTACTTTGGCAATTTTGGCTTTATTTCTGAGAATTTGCCCCTTGGTTAACACTACTCAGGGGTCAAATTTGATTTAAATTTACAGGGTTTTGATATAAAAAAGAAAATACAGAGAGAACCTTCATAATTACCTTGTAATGCCATGCCAATCCAGACCTAAATTGAATGAAGATGCTAACTAAAATGTTGAAATATTTAAAGGAAACAGAGAAAATGATTTAATATCAATTCATGGAAATATTTACATAATATTTAACTATATAGAAACAAGAACAATGAGAGAGAAATGTTCAAAGATCTATGCACCATTTCATCTGGCTTTTTATCCAAAAATAAACAGTATGCAATGAAATATTTTCTTTGGATAGAATTTAGGGATTCATTTGGTAGAAATTGAAGGACGTTTAGCATCACCTCTTGTGAGCTGGAAGCAATAAAATCTTGATAGTTAGACAAAGGGATTTTTTACACTTGTCAGAGGATGATCAGCCACATAGTTTATTAAGTAGCGACAGCAGGAAGAGCACTGAACCATCAGTGTGGAGCATAAAGTACTGAGACTCACACACGCCAAGACGCATTTCATCACAAGCACAGCTGGAAGACCAGTTTGTCAGAGTTTAGTGCGCAGCTCTGTCAGACACCTGGACCATTCTGGATTATTTAAACCCATGCCGATGCTGCCATGATCCATCTTTGGTCATGCAGAATAAGAACCTGCATGGCAGGTGGGCTGCATGTTCAAACAGGACACAGCAGCACGGCTGATACTGCTTTGCAGATTGTAGCACAGTGATGCTTTTTAAATGTCTGACCAACTACCCGCTAATTTTTATTTAGTCTCGTCTCGTTGACTGAAACTCTCACCCATTACTATCAAGTTTTCGTCAACAAAGATCCATCTTTAGCTCATCGGTTTTCATTATCATCATGAAAAAAAGGAGCGTCAACAAAATAATTTCGTCATCCTCATGGTTGACGAAAGCAACACTGCTGCCCACAACAATAACTGAATTTTTCAGAGAGTCTGTCTTGCTTTCTCTACCACACTGAACACACTGGCTTATTAGATTAGTTAACACTAATAACTGAATATTCATTAATTTAGATCTGACTTATTATTTTTACACTGCATAATCAATTGCTATTACCAACCCACTGCACTGGATAACAAGCTTATGATATAGCATTTCATGGATTATTAAGTAGGTAATGTACAATATTGGATAATGCCAATGTGGTTGGGGATGAAGATACAGAACACCAGCTGAAGCCTCTGACAGGCAAGCTGACAAAGCCCATCTGTTGCAAAGAAAAACTGAAGGAACTAAACCATCCTTTATCGAATCAGCCGGTTTGGCAGAGCCAAATAAAATTGTCGAGCTGTTCTGGCATGCATGTCAGTGGCAGAAGCTTTGCTAAAATGGCTCTGATAACCATCCTACTGAAAGGTAGTATTTACTAATGTGTTGTAGCGGCCTACCACAGTCTTGTCTGGACCTACCACAGCCTCTTATGAATCGAAGATGTAAAAAAAAAAATTCAAATAAATATATATAAATATTAAATAATACAAAAATTTCATTTCTTTGGTCTTTTACCAAAAAGCAGACATTTGTGTTTTGTTTTGACCTATAAGTGATCTCTTGGAATTTTGCTTTGTAAATGTTTTTAAAATGAGGTGCACAATCAGAGATTTAGATGTGAATTATGAAGCAGCAGAAATATTTACAAACTGATAACCTTGGTCTGCCTTAAACTGTTCGAATCATTTTATTCTCTGTATTGTTGTGGCTTTTTTTAGATGTTAACAATCTCTGCCCTGAAGTTTTATTCCATCTCTCTGTTCTGTTCATTTAGACTGTGGAGAAGTTCTTCAGTAAGGAAATCAAGTATCTGGTATCCAACAAGCGGGAGGCAAAGCATGTGCACTGCCTCAGACAGGACTCCCCTGTCCCCAGTCCCGACTCTGGACTGAGTTCCCCACACCCCCATTCCAACCGACAGCCTTCTTCAAACAATGTGGACAATGTTAAAAGCAGACCTCAGGGTTCAGTGGATACAGTAAGTCTATATTGGTGTTTTATTATCCATTACACATTGCTTCAGATGTTTAACATTTTTGGATACATTACATTATTAACTTTGTTTCCGTCATAGGTGATCAAGAGTCGAGGGAAATCTCTGGTGGAAAGAGTCGTGACAGGGCAGGTTTGTTAATGCAACACTGATATTTACCATCATTTACAGATTTTTATATGTAGATATTTTTTCTGGACTGACTTTTTCTGCTGTTTTGGTCTTTTAGGGAAGGGTACAAATGGACAGAATCCTGTCAAATGCGCTGGAGTGGGGTGTCAAAATCCTCTACTTGGATGGTTGGTTGTTTTAGCTTACGCTGGTGAAAACATGATTAAAATATAATGTTATGTCTTGACTCTTTTATGGTTGTTTTTTCATTTTTTCTTGTCTGTTATGTCACTTTCAGATGTATTGGTTTATATTCAGAAGAAAAAGAAAATTTTCAGGAGCCATGTCTCAAAAACTGCTGCTGATAAATTACAAGTGAGTTTAAAAATGTCAGAATAAAAAAGAAACTATGGGAAGTTTTTATTTTTTTTTATTTGAAATACACTTGGTCAACATTATTAATTCCCATATTATTTTTTTTAATCTATTCTAATAGGTGAAAGTTGAAGCTTCAGCAAAGGTTTTTCAGAAATCAAAAGGTAAATATCTGTAGTTTCAAACAGCTTTCATTTATATTTAGATGTCAGATTACTTTTGTTGCCTGCATGCTCAATGTTGTGATGTCATTTGCAGCGGGGCGGATCGCTAAACCTTTTATTAAGGTTGAGGATTCAAGCAGGTATACAAACATTCAAAGGTGCATAACATGCATTGCCTCTCTTAAAAAGTGTTTACATATAAACAGTACTTTTCTTTTATCAGACATTATCGACCGATCTACACCACAATGCCACACCTTCCTGAGTTTTACCTGACGACAGCAGCTCCCTACAGTCCGTTCTGTGTAGAGGGGAAACATCCCTCTGGAATCAAACAGCATGGACACAGGTATTCTATTGTGCCTTGGAGTTATGCCAAAAATAGTTTTATTGTGACTTTTGTTACACCTTTGCATATGCCCAAAGGGAGCCTTGATTTCCCTTCATTTTCCTAAGTGCTCTGTGATCCTGATGTGCATATCAGTTTGATACATGCAAGTCAGACTAATTTTTGACAAACTCTCCTCGGCCAGACAATAATGGGTTTCAAAGCACAGCGGTTTGTGTGTGTCCTGCCTGTTAGCATCAGCTTTCTGCTATGCTTTCTCTGCACTTGTGACTTGATAAACTGTAAACAAACTGCAGCACCAGCAAAGTATGAAGAATGCTTCTGCCCAGATTTCTTATTCCTTATCTTCCAGCAAAATGTCTTTGATTTATTCCAAAGTTATGCCTATACTATATCTAAAATGTTATCTTAAATTAGAGTTTTAGATATAGACCCAGATGAAAAGTTTTTTTTTTTTTATCAGAATTCCTCTATTTTGTCAAATAAGATTTATTTTTTATTTTATTTTTGCAAATTTTAGTTAGTCAATTTCATTTTATATTTATATATTTTGTTTACTTTCTTTAAATTAGGTCCTACATTTTTGTGGTGTTTGGTAATCTTGGTGACTATGAAACCTGTGGTATTAGTACATAGTAGGATATTCAAAAATTGGGGCCTTATAAGAGCAAAACTGGTATAATCATTGAAGGTTAGTTTTTGTTGAGCTGGGGATAAATAACTTCTAAATTTTTCTGTGTCTTCCTCTCAGCAAACAAACTATGTAAGTGTTGCATCAACCAGAGTAACAGTTTAGCCAGAAAGCTCACTCTGACACATTTCATTTCATTATACAAATAAAAGTCTTTGATCATGTAAACAAAAGTTAACATCTGTAAACATTACTTATGAGTCAACTGAATAAGATTGAAACAGGCTTTAGATTTAACAAAATACGTCTCAAATGGCTAGTATCAGAACTATACTATGAACAGCTATTTAAATCTTATTTTTGTCTCTTACAGGAGAGTGAAAGCTGCAGCTGCTGAGGAAAAAGGCCGAAAAAAGAACAGAGAGAAGAAGCGAGGCGGTTACTGCGAGTGCTGCTTAGTCAAATATGACCAGCTCAACATGGTATGATTGCAAAAGAGATGGAAGCATGACAGCATTTTATTTGGATATTCTGTGACATCTGTTGTAATTCAAAAATAGAAATGTTTTTTTTAAACACATTGCTCACTCTCTGACTAAAAATCACTCACTACATACTACTGTAGGTGACCCGTACTGGATTTTCTGGGCTAGAAGCCACTACTTTTTCCCCACGCTTTAAACCATGCGGCTTATGCAAAGGTGCAGCTTTTTTGTGGATTTTTCTTCAACTGCCAGGGGGCGTATGCCAAAGTTTGAAATCAAAGAAGAAAGCGTTAACTTTCCTTTAGCACAACCACATGCTAGCAGCAGGCAACAAGGAGAACAAATGTCCCGAATTCACACAGCGGTTACAGCTATCCTTGTTGTTTGTTAACATTTACTGCATTGCAGCTTTTCAAATAATGTCCTATGATATAGCTTTCTGAAGTGGCAGTTTTCTGAGGAAATTACCCTTTTGTTATCTGATCTCTTGACATTTATTTGCCACATTAAAGGTGTTGAACCACGGAAGAGTCTGTGCGCAACTCCTTCAGAGCTGAACTAAAGACATGACAAAGCACTATCAATCACGACAGTACTCGCAGTATGATGTTCTGATCTAGACGGCATTTAACTCAATAAATTAAAGCCTGCAAAATAGCTGTGAAGTTCTTCGCATATCATTAACCAAACGGAGACAAACTGTTGGAAATTACACACAATGTTTTTGAATAATCCCTGAGAAACAGTCTAGCATGTTTTGAGAATCATTATTTTTATTCCAAACACTCCCTAATAGAATAAACAACCCCTCTCCCTTAGACACCTTGTAGCTTTCCAGCACTAAGGCCTGAATGAATGAATGAAACTCAGCACTCACATATCAATATAGGTTAAAGGAAATTAGTAGAAGATATATATTTTTTCCCACTTCAGACTATATATACTTTGGAGTCTCCCAGATGTGAGTTGACTCAGCTTAATTACAGAGACTACTTGATTTTTAATTTTTTTTGGTGAATGCCCTACTCTGGACCAAGAAGACATCAGCCAGACCTAATTTTCCCAAATCCGTTTGAGACATCTTAACATTATTGCTGATTTGAGAGTCAACTGACCCTAGGAAAGCAATGGCATTAGCTTATGTTCTGGATAAGTCTGCCTGACTCTTTGAGCTCTTACACCAGTGATAGTGACACCCTGTGAAGTCCTCGTGTTTTTAACTACTTTAAAGTCCACAAGGTTACAGCTATTCTTGTTGTTGTTAACATTTTCTGCATTGCAGCTTTTTAAATATTGTGCTTTGATATAAGTTTCTGAAATGACAGTTTTCTTGAGAAATGACCCTTCTGTGATCTGCTCTCTTGTGACTCACTGCTAATTATCATGTTATCAAGTATTCTTCCCCATGACTATTGACCAAAATGACATCCTGTACCCTAAACTATCATTTTAATTTTCAGAGGAACTGCTTTGATGGTTTTCATTTGTGTTTAGTCATGCATTATAAATCATATAAATATTATAACCTGTTTTATTACTCTTATTGATTGTGGATTATTATAATATGGAACATGATATATTAAAAAACATGTATAAGTGCTCCTTTTGTCCCAAGTGCTAAACATATTACTCACTGTTTGCTATGTTGATTAATTATTAGTTTACCTAGAAGCAGGTTTTGTCTGCATTTTGTTTGTTGTGTGGAGTTAGTCTCTGTATACCCCGATGTCTTCACTAATTGACTCTAGTCATTAAATCAGCACTGAATAATTTAACTGAGTGATTTTTGTATAGCATCTGCAGAGTGAACGTCACAAGGCTTTCTCCAGGAGTGATGAGTACATGGTGGTGGACCAACTGGTTTCTGCTTTGCACTTCAGTTTCCTTCCCATCAAGGCTAAAGCCTCAAGGTAATTTATTCCTTTTCAGTCACAGCATAAAAAGGAAACTGATCAGTTTTTTGTTTTGTTTCCACTCAGTTAATTTCTGCTTTTTCTCTATAGGCCAAAGTGCAGTGTATCCTCTGTTCTTTTGGTACCTGAACCATGTGGGGAAGCTGGCCCAATTCTTCAAGGAGATGACAGTCCCTCACAAACCATTAAGGCAGAGGAGGATTTGATTGGAGATGCATCTGCAGAATCATATTTGGGAAACATGTGTGTACAAGGAAAGAAAAGGAACTGCTACACTTACTCGGACAGCTCCAAGCACAGGTTTCTGGTTTGCAGACGGACAACTAGACGGAAGCTTTCAACTCCAAAACCTGAGCGGATCACGAGTCCTCAACTGAATTCAGAAAACACTCAATTAGATGGGGAATTTGTTGCCTCCTCTCCTTCCAAGGAAGACTGTGTTAGTTTTGTCGGCAAAATTCCTCACAAAGACACAAACAGCTCAGTTTCTTACTTGCTAGGTACAAACTTTCGAAGTGAGGCATCAGCGAGCAACTTCAGTGCAGTGACACATGGACCTGAGGATACAAACAAGGATGCTGTTCTGTCTGAGTCTGTCCAGGAACTGAAAACATTCTCACAGACTGAAAACATTTTCTCTGAAAAGGAAGAAGAAATCCCTTATGTGCCAATAGTGTCTACACTGCAAAAAATTGAGAGAAAGATCAAAGTTTATAAGCACAAAAGACGGAAAGTGGACACAAACCTTGAGTCTGTAGAGCAAGGACCTGAGAACTCGCTACTGAAACTTTGGGAAATTTTCCAGTCTAGCGACGACATGGATGAGGAGTTTCTTGGCTTCATTGACTAGATGAATCCACAAACTAAATGGAAGAACTGGTTTGTCTTGAGTTGTGAAAAAGAACTATTAATTCAATCTATTGAGACGTGTGGTTTAGAAATGCACTGTAATCCCTAAAGTGACTTAAAAAGTTTTATTTAATGCCAAGATAATTGGAAAAAGAACCGTCACTAAAATGTGATATTAAGAGACTTTAAAGACTAAAAATAAAAAAAGTAAAAACCTTTACTGAACTTTTGACAAAACCTTTTTTTCAAGAGATCAGTTAACCCCCCCAAAAAAGGAAACCTAAGCACAAATGTTTCACCATTATTTAAAAAAAAAACTTTGCATGTATGTCTTTAATGGGTTAAAAGCCTAAAAATCAATTTTTTTGTATAGTAAAAAATTTAAAATTCTATCCCATTTCACTTTCTTTTTATTTCAATTTTTGTGTTTCTGAGGTTGAAAACTGCCAGATTGTTTATTGCTTTGACTTTAAGATGTGTTTTATGAAAACTTTAGTTTTGATATTTTAATTACCGTAGTATTACCGTATTTTCATGACCATAAGGCGCACCGTACTAAAAGGCGCAGTCTCAGTTATGTGTGCCATTCCTGTATTTAACACACACATAAGGCGCACCGGACTATAGGGCGCGTTTTTTATATACCGGTACATGTCCTCTACTACCTTTAAATACCTCTACTGCGTATTTAAAAATACAGCGGGGGCAAAACTGAGTATGACTGTGCTTTATTCATGTATTTATTACAAAGTATTAATCAAACCTGGCAGCTGGCCGCGAGACAGACACATCGCAGATGACACAGCGCTGTGGTCACTCCTAAATTAACTTAAAATCCTGAAACCTGCCGACGGAATATGTTCGCTTTTATTGCCGGTATCCTGGTGCCTGCAGTTTAAATTATTTAGATGAAAAACACCTGCCAGCCGCCGCGGTGAACCCGGAGGCTGCCCAGCCTAGAGGCTGCTGATGAAGGGATTTCTACTGTCGGTGCACCGCTGGTATGTGGGGGTCTGAGCGCCTCCGACAGAAATAGATAATCTGGATGAACTGACTGCAATTATGAAGTTTTCAGGTGGACTTTCTCACTTAAAAACATATTAAAACTACTTTATTCCCACTGATCACAGCAAATATAGCTGCAAGATTAAGATTATTTAGATGAAAAAACACCTGCCAGCCATCGCGGTGAAGAGGAGGAGACGCGCCCAGAGGCTGCTGTTGAATTAAGTTTTCAGGTAGAAAAATAGAGCGGGAGCAAAACTGAGTATGATTGTGCTTTATTCATGTATTTATTACAAAGTATTAATCAAACCCATCAAAGTCATCATCCTCTGTTTCTGAATTAAACAGCTGCGCTAAATCAGACATGCCAATTTCCCCTTCTTCGCTGTCAGTCACTTTCCGTGCAGCGCGGCTCCTCAGAAATAATGCCGGCTTTTGCAAAAGCTTGAAGAACAGAGCCAGCAGACACGTTAGTCCAAGCATCAACAATCCATCCGCAAACGGTGGCGTAACTCGCCCGGCGCTGCCTTCCACGTATCCTGAAACTGTGGTCTCTGTCGGCCATCCATCGCTCCCACGCCGCTCGCAGCCTTACTTTGAACGGGCGCTTCACACCGATGTTGGGCGGTTGAAGTTCCTTTGTCAGATCTCCCAGGATAACGGCGAGCACAGCGTTCATTGATTCACCTTTTTTTTTCACATCGGCTGTGAGATGGGCACGCAGCGATGGTGATGCGTGGAAAAAAACACCTGGTCTCCTCACATAGGCTACACCTCCCTCAGCCACGCTTTCATCATCTCCTCATCTATCCAGCCTTTTTCATTTAATATCATATGTCATCAGAGCGCTGTGTCTGTCTCGCTGTCAGCTCCCAGATCAGCTCCTCTGATTGGTTGATGCGGCGCGTCCAGCAGCAAAACTTCAATTTTTCCATCTCGAGCAGCAGCGCGTTGGCGGTGCGTCAGATGCTTAAACGATCCCGACGTGCTGCACCTGCGGCTCAAAACGCGCTGCAGGACCTTTTGCTGCACCTATACGCGCGTCAACCATTGACTTTGCATGTAAACTCGCTGCTTGTGCTGCACCTGCTGGGTCCGGTTCACACCGATGTCCAGCGGTTGAACAGCGAGCACAGGGTTAATTTGTTTCCCCATGTTTTTCACATCAGCTGTGAGATGGGCACGCATGGAGTCACAGATTAATGGTGATGAGTGGAAAAAAAACACCTGGTCTCCTTACATTCAGCCACTCTTTCATCATCTCCTCAATGAGGTGGTCTCAAAAGTCGCAGTTACAACACACATAGGGCGCACAGCACCATAGGGCGCACCGCACATTTTGAGGGGAAAAAAAAGACGTTTAAGTGTGCCTTATAGTCGTGAAAATACGGTATTTATTTCTGATTTTGATATACATTTTCTGTGAACCTGATGTGGAAATTAAAGAACGTTTTCAAAGCTTATTTTTTACCATGACGTCTTTTTACGGTGTCATTTAACATTAGTTTAAGACTAGCTCTAAATTGTTAGTAAAACAAACTGATTTTGTAAACACAAACTTTAGAAATCAAAAGCTAACAAGAGTTAGTTAATTTACTAACTTGGTCGATATACGGTCTAACTCATCTGATATCATGAGGTATAGTTATGACTTTACACCTAGTTCCAGATCTAGCGCCCCTAGTGGCTAAAAGGTATAGTGTTGCCTTTTGCACCTGGAGCTCGCCCTTTGCCCACCATTTATGCCATTTTTGCCAATCAAGTTGAGAATGTGGGGACACTGATTATGAAAAAGGGTCGGCAAAATATGAGCAACCATTAGATTTACAATGGTAATGGAGACTGCTCGGATCTGTTGCAGATGTTTTACTTAAAGCTCACGTCAATGAGGCTTGATTTGCAGATTAGATAAGAGTTAGGATTTTCTCATCTGTTCTTGAAATGTTCTAGATTGAATCAGGACGTGTTGCCACATCAGCTTTTTAAGCCTTCGTCTTATGGGCAAGGTTCTAAATATGCAATTTCATGATTTTTAACCTCTTACACCCTAAGGGGGTATAAATAAATTTCTGCCTGACAAAAACACACAAAAGTAAATAACTTATAGCCTAAAAGCTATTAGATTTAAGAAGAAACTTTTGGTACGTCTGTAAAGGTAAGATGTCATAGAATGGTTTTCTGGTGTCAGCACCATTGTAGCTTTGACCCTGCCTGAAATATTAGGGACAAAATACAAAATATTTTGCATTTTTTGAACCTTGCCAAAATTTTCTTTGAAATAAACATTGCAAAACACTACCAAAATATTATTTATAGCACAAAAAAGTAGTACAGACTTTCAAATCTAAATGTTGTATAAAAATATACCAAATTTGGACTCAATCAGATGAATCATATTTATTTTAGAATGGTATTAGTGAGAAATTTCTTAGGCGGAGAGGCCATTTTGGCACATTTATCCATAAATGTCACCAAACTGTGCCAAATATGTTTTTTACATCAATACTGGGGGTTTGGTAAAACTACGAGGTCATGTAGCAGCTGGACCCGCCGGTGGGTCCGTAGGGTTCAAGGGGTTAGAGTTGCATAAGACTTGGCAGTAGCTTAAGCAAATTAACCCAAGAAGGGTTTCGCTATTATCTTCCCTATTATCCCTATTATTGTTTTTTTAATGAAACATATGCTTATGTTAATATAAGTTTACCTAAAAATCCATTTCTAGTAAGTATCCCATTCCTCAGGTTAATATTTTAACCTCTATGCCAGTACAGAATGCAAAGTACCAAATATAATGAGAAAGATAAAATACTAGGCCATATGCAATACAGATAGGGCCAAAGGGCAATCACCAAATGACTTCAAAACCCATAAAAGCACAACTGATTGGAAAGACCAGGAAAACACACAAATGAGTGCAGTAACATTCAAAGGATTGCGGCATAACCTCAATAACTGTTCAATGTTTTCCAGGCCAAGGACCCCAAAACTGATGGTGAGATGGAGCGGGGACCCCCTAATTTTATATATTGTGTGAAATTGTGTTATATCAAACTGGTCCTGTAGTCACTCTATTACAGATGGAGTAATGTAACAAAAGTAATTTCGCCCTGGGATTATTAAAGTATTTCTGATTTTGGTTCCTGGTTGATGGGACAGGTGTTGTGAATGAAACAGTGCCCAGCTTGAAAGAGCTCCTGTATGTCACTGATTGTGAGCATTAATGACTGAAAGACATCTTCTGCCTCCATTTATCTGTTTACTACAGTGTATTGATTTCATGTGTATTTAAAGATATTTGAATTAGTAGAAAAAAATTGCAGGGGGAAATATCTAAAAAAAAGTCTAATCAACCAAAACTTTCGCGACCCCTATGCAGTACCTCTGTGGACCCCCTGTTGAAGACCTCTGATATAGATGGTCTGTTCTCTCTGCTGCCTTCTAGAAAGAGGCTATGAAGCATCCAATGCAGGTCCAGCAGATTCCAGAACAGTTTCTTCCCCACTGCCATTAGACTGCTAAATGTTATGTAAAATTGGTTATTAAAAAAAAAAACAAACGAAAACAAAACAAACTGAAATGTTGGAACTACTGTAACTATACAGTCATATGTTTTCATCACTTTTTTCATCAAAATGTTTCTATCACTGCTGCTTACCTGCACTTTAAAAAATTAAATAGTTTAGAGAACCTTACTTAACGAAAAACATTTTTGTTTACACTTGTGTTATGTATACAAAATGACAAAATAAAATCTAAGTCTAAGATGTAGACACATGGGCTGCACATTTTTTGGCACTAATAGAACCCCATATAGACATTAAATGAATGGGGGAAAAAAAACAAGATTAATTTTTTATATCTTAAATATTGTCTTACTGAAAAAAGCTGTGACTGGGAGTTTATTTTTATGCGTTTGGTAAACAATCAGTGAAACAGAAGGCTACCATCTGCGGTGAATTGTTCAGATTTGTTCCCTTAAATGCTGGAATGCAAATGATCTCATCAGCTCTGGAAGATTTAATGGGACATTTGAAAAACGCCAAAATTCTTTAAAATATGAAAACAAAGGGCTTTTGGTGATTAAATGTATATATTTTTTTATATATTTTTTTTTCATCACAGAAGCAGGCCACGCCCTGGTTCGCATTTTCTTTATTGCGTGAAATCAATTCTTCTGTTAAAACCTCACGGTTATAATAAAGCTCATCTAATTTTCCCAATTTTCTCTGAATGGGGGTGGGGCCTTAGCAAGCCCTGGCAGATGATGGAGTGAGTCATGATAATAGCGGGCAGGATTGTGCAGGAATGGCTCTCCAGCATTAATTCACCTCAGAACCAAGCTGAAGTTGGCTTCCGATTTGAGCTTCCCATTCGGGAAATTAATAAAGGGCAATTCCACTTCATTTTCCCCTACCTTCAGCATCTTTAATCTACTCTAATAAAAAAAAAAAAAATACACCTACACATGTCAAAACTGGACTAGTTTATTCTAAAGTAGTTTTAGAATAATGACAACCAGGTTTGGGTTTTGTAAAACCATTCTCTGATTTGTGAAACTTCAATAAAGACAGATTTTAACACTTTTTGGTGTCCACATCACTCTAAAAGTGGTCTAGCTCTAAAACTACGACACATCAAACCTGGAATAGATTATTCTAAACAGGCAATAACCAATGTATGTTGAGGGGTGGCCGAAAGTGGATAGGTGCCATAACCTCAGGGTTAAGCTACACTGTTCCAACAGGAAAATTAATGAGCAAAACATCCATGTTTTCTAAATGAAGACAATATTTTCCTACTGCCTTTGCTTACAAATAGACACATATATAGTGGATACAATTCTTTCAGGTTTAAGTTCTGGGGCAAACATCTTTTCCATTGTCATTACTTATTCTAATCAATAACCATTCTTAAAAAAAATGATATTTACAAGTAAAAATATCTACATAAATTGATTATTTAATACTTTAAAAAAAAAAAGTTATTTATCTATGATTTCACTGAAGACTCCTAGATGACTTGCAGAGACACATAATTCTCTCTTTACCCCATGTAACACAAAATTTAGTTCTGAAAAGACCATCAATTATATACTTATAATTAATTTCAGTATATTTATGTGCATAATTAACCACTGTGTCTTTGTTGTCAAGTAAATATTAATATATGAAAATTTTGAATATTCCACTTGAGAGTACTACTGTTGCCACTGTCTAACCTGACAACAGCCAGATGCATGTCTCGCTCCGCCTAGCTCCGCTCACATACATCTGGGAACCCGCAATAGGAATTGCCTTTACTGAAGGCTGGGCCTTATCAAAACTCCTTGCATATGATTGGATAAGCCACTTGTCTGTCATCTTTATTGACGTGCTATTTCAACCACTCACACCGAAGCTAACCCGTGACGCTGTGAGAGGAGGAGCCATTTGGTAGATCAAGCTCTTGCCAAATCCAGTCGGGAGAAGGGCGAAAACATCGTTTCCACCAACAAAAGCCTTCAAAGCCGTTCTCTGATGTTCTTTTAATGAAACAATATCAGATAGATTGGACAACACAGAAGATATAGCAGCATCAATGCTAACGCTTGCTTCCTCGATGCGAGCCGCCATTGTTGTTGGAATCTCACGGTCGCTTCTCCACTCCAGGACACACCCACCCTGCATCCTAATTGGACAGACCATAAATTCGGTTGGGGAAATCACTTCAATGAGCGGGTTCCCAGATGTATGTGAGTGGAGCTAGGCGGAGCGAGACATGCATCTGGCTGTTGTCAGGTTAGCCACTGTCTGCATTAGAGGGAAAGGGTGGTAGGGGTGGCTAAGGATTGGCTTAGGGTGGCCATGACCCCCCCCCCAGGCCCCCCATCTAGCTCCGCCCCTGCTTTTAAACAAACTTTGTGAAATCTTTCTCTAATTTGTGAAATTCAATAAAGACAGGTTTAACACCTTTTTTAGTGTCCACGTCCCACTAGAAGTGGTCTAGCTCTAAAACTACGACACCTAGACGCATCAAACCTGGACTAGATTATTCTAAAAAAAATGTTTTAGTTGGAGTAGATTGAAGATGCTGAAGGTAGGGAAATCGCCCTTTATTCTTTCTCCGAATCGGAAGCAAACTTCCGCTTCCTCACCTCAGATCTCCTCTATCAGCTCCGGAAGCCCGTAGTTTGTCTCCATCCTCCCTTTGCTCATATTTATGCATCAGGCGTCTCTGCAGAGAGACGTTTGGAGGTTGGTGTTTTTAGGAGGTGTCCCCCTCCCTCTCTGCCTCCCTCCCACGGATCCGCGCTCAGCCGCTCTCTGCGTTCAGACGCGTCAGCGACCCACCGATGGCCCACCATCAGGCGGACTGCTCCAACCAGACCCTCCGCTTCCCCTAGCGAAGGCAGAGCTGCGAGAGGTTCATATTTTGGGATATACTGCATTGCTTTTAATTTTCTACCAAAGAAAGGAAGGTGATGATGCTGAGGATGCCATGGTGGATTTCCCTTTTGTGCGTCTGTGGATTGATCCAAGTCGGTCACCAGAGCAGCCTTCATCCCTCAAATGGTAACTCAGACTGTTTGTGATGCAATTTTTATCTTAATATTTTAAATCTTATTTATACACTTTTTTTTTTTTTTTGAGGAATCTGATTATTTACAACCTGAAGTATAATACCACAATAGGCAGTGAAACCCCATGGAGATTTCATGCATCGCTGCTGGTTTCTTGCACAGGCTGGTGATGAAGTCGGTGTTTACTCTCTGTGCAGGAGACGCCTTGTCGAGCCTGAAGGCTCGTCGGGATGCGGGCAGGTTCGTGGGGAAGGAGGACACGGTGCCTCTCCGCCTCGTGTACAGCAGGCACAGCCACAGGCAGATTACCCACGATGAGCTCAGCACCAGAGTGAAGGCCAGCCCGGGTTCCACGCAGGTACACACCGCGTGTTGTTTTTCTTGTCGTCAAGGATGGATAGAGGAGTCTCTGTCTGGAAAGATGCCTGCAGGACAGTTTGTTTATATCTTGCACACTCATCTCCTCCTCTGCTTGTTGTCTGGGGGCGGAATAACACTTAATAACAAAAAGCAAAACAGACTACTGAAAGATTTAGTCACTTTAGCAATCCTCACTGATTAGATGCACTATCTGGGTCACCATTGCCTTCATAACTTAAAAGATGGTCAAATCCGTTTTAACCTGTTCTCAATTTTCATGTATGCTTTAAGAAATATGCATAACCTGATATTATACTAAGATACTATACTAAGTCCTGTTTTATCCTTTAATAACCCGAACTGTTATTAAGCTGAACTGAATAGTGCAAATCTATTGAAATAAAAGGTGGATCTGGAAATTATACCTCATTAAATATTGGTCCGTCCTGGTTGCAAGTCAAAAACACATTAATGCAATTTCAATAAGTTTATTTATATAGCGTCGATTCACAACACATTTCATCTCGAGGCACTTTAAAATTTACCAGATCATACAGTCAAATTGATTCAGAGTTTTCTATCTAAGGAAAACCAGTTGATTGCATCGACTCAAATGCAATTCCTCACATTAAGCATGCTTGTAGTGACAGTGGAGAGGAAAAACTCCCTTTTAACTGGAAGAAACCTCCAGCAGAACCAGGCTCAGTGTGACCGGCCATCTGCCGAAGCTGACTGGGGTTCAAGGAATTATTTAATAATTGTGACCTACACTTGTATTAGCAATATAAACATTTTGTTCATTCTATCTCTTAAAATAGAAACACAAAAACATGTTCATAAATAGTTGATAGCTCTTCATGTGCCACTGGTTTAATTTTTTTAATTACAAACTGTAAAGGTATGATTTGCCTTAGCCTCAGTTTTATATGCATCACAAAAAAGGTCTGATTTTGAGCAACTATTTGAGCGATATTATTCACCTTTAAAGATGTGATGTGGATTCGGGAATGACACCAAACTCAAGGAATAGATTCAGTGTTTTACACTGATTGATCTGCCTAAAACCAAGCTGTTTTTTTCTGTTTAATCTATATCAATTTACCTCTTCACATATTTTCCATTCAAACACTTGCATAGCATGTTCATTAATGGAGGTTGTACCATGCTCTGTGTGTGAACAGGTTAATGAGCTGACAGAAATGCAAATAAATGCCGTATTTTGGCAGATATCATTGTTTTAACAATTCAACAGCCATGTTGGGTTTGAAGTTCTAAGTGAGTGAGAAACCTCTTTTGAATTTGGAAAATTTGGAGATGTTGATTCTTTGTGTGAATAAGAAAAAAACAACAGAAAACATGCTAATGTGTTTTAATTTAGTATTAGGTAACCTTAGTATTTATTTACAGATCAGATATTTTTGCCTAGATTGTCCATAAACAGGAGACACACTGCTTTTGTTAAAGTACTAATGATAAAAGACAATTACTATTTTGATAATTCATGTCCAACTGTCCCAGCAGCTGTCTCCTGTCTCTTCGTATCTCATCATGTCTCTGTCAAAAGAATATGCAGATATCGTGATTGAAGAGGAAATAGAATGTAATCCAAATATTAGTTCCCCATGTGACTTACATACCAACAGCAGTGTACAAGAAATTAAAAACAAATAAATAATTCAATGTTTTTATATCAAAAAGGAGAAAAAGCACTGGATATCCAGCAGAGGGCGCTAAAAACATGTTTTTTCACCTTTTTCTGCAGTTATTTAGTAATTGACTAAATGAAAAATGCACAACAACTTAAAATTATTGTGAGTGTATTAATCAGTTTCTTTCTGTATCCCCTAGAACTTTTTGAAAATTTTAAATTCTGACTTGCATTTTTTCATTTATTTCAGTTTGTTTTATATAAGTTGTTTTTTGGCAGATAAGAGAACAGCTTGTCGCTTTATTGGCATAGTTTTTTTTTCAACAAGGTAATCTTTTGTTTCTTAATAAAAAAAGAAAAACTCAGTGAAGATGTAACTAAATCACATTCTTTTTGTACAAACGTTGTTCAATTAAGTGTTACAGCTCCTCATTGCAGCCCCAGATGAGCTTATATGCAATTGTACAGCGTTTACACAGAACTGTAAAATGCATTCAAACTGAGGAGGCGGCTTTGAAGTGAGGTGTGGGCTGTGCCGTCTTATCTACAGAGAGTTGAAAGCTGTGATGTCATTTCTACAAAGTTTGATCAGTTTATTGGCTGTTTTTAGATAAATGGGACAAAAAAAAAATCTGTCAAGCAGTTCTTAAAAGGTGTGACTCGTGGTAAGTTATTTTTAGGGTCTTATTGCCTATTTTCAGTCTCACGCACAAACCAGGCTAAATGAGAAGTAGGCGGGGGAGGTGGAGTGGAGTGCTCGTGTTTTTTCGGCGTGCTTTTAGGGTCTTTTTTAGGCTGCTTCTCTGCTTCAGGCATTGATGGCTCTTACAGTTGTACTCAGACAATCTGGAGGGAAAAGTCAGGTCAGCTGAAGTCAGAAATCGATGTAAGCAGAGTCAGAGTTGGTTTCTTAATGATCGTCTGCGCTCTGTCAAGATGCTTCAACTGACCCTGGTTCCTGGTACCTCCTCGCTGTTCAAATTCCCTCTGCCTTGATAAATGAGATCACCATGTTTGCATTGATATTGGGAGGCACTTGAGTAAAAACCCACATACTGCTTTATGTGCTCTGACTAGGTACTGGCACGTTTCAGTAAACAATAGAGTCTCTGGTCCCTGTGGACATCAGGGGGGTCTGGGTCATTTCTGGGTGAGCACAGGGGCATTTCCTGGAGAGAAAAAAAGTCTCCACCCCCTCCTCCTCTTGATACCTCACCGTTCGATAATAAAGGAAGCCTTAGGGCTGAAGCTGAAGGGGGAGGGTGTTCAAAGGTGTCTTCTGAACCCACAAGAAATATATTTAGTCATTTTCATGAACCCAGTGGGTGTGCAATAAAGCCAGCACCATATGCTTCCCAACACTGAAATAAACCAAGCTCCATCCAAATCGATCAGAAAGGAAGCAATTAATTTCTCTGGTGCATCAATGCACTGCAAAGTAACCAGCTTCATGGGCACAGATGTTTCTGGGAAATAAAATCTATCAGGTTAGTTGGTTGTTTTTATATCCCTGTTGGGAAACAGGAGCAATAGAGTTGACAGAATTTGTGAAAAATTGGCTTGTCTGCAAAAAAAAAAAAAAAAAGAGGTGGGATCAGCTCCAGACAAATAAAATTCACCTTGATGACTTCATGAAAGCAGGTTCCTTCCTGCTGATCCATGCTGCTAAACTAACAAGCAGCCATCCATCAATGTAGGCGGATGGCTGATCCATGTGAATTCTAATGAGCTGCACTGTGAATGTTTGCAGGTAGCACATAAAATTTCCTTTCTGCATTTTCAGATGGAACATGTATCCCAGGCCACCTTTCAAGTTGATGCTTTTGGAAAAACATTTATCCTGGATGTGGAACTGAATCAGTGAGTATCGGCATGCTGGTTATCTTCTAAAGCTCAATTGAATGTATCTAAGCTGCCTTATCCGTCATTATGTAGAGTCAGGACAATTACTAAAGCATTTTGTGAGGATTTTTGTTGTTGTTTTTGTTTCATTATATCTGAGGATAGTAATAAATAATGATTTCTGGATGCAGATGAGGTTTAAGTACTGTATCATTGAATAGGAAGTAAAGCAGATAAAATAAAACACTTATAGAATAATATAAATCTTAATAAGCAGTCCAGCATTTTAATAGCTTGAGAAAGAAAGCTGTGGAGCTTTTAGGTGATTCTACCTTTGACACTTTGGTACCCACTCTGATGGCAGCAGATCTGCTCCTTTCTGGTTGTGAGGATAGTGAAGCAGATTCTTGACAGAGGATCAGGACAGATCTCTTTTAGGCTCTTCTCACTTCCCAATAATGAGATAAAGTGTTTCAACAGACTCTTCACCACAACTCTGTTTGCTGTAAGGATGTTGGCTTAAGTTTCCTCAGAAAGCACTGTCTCTGCTGGACCTCTTTGTCCCTCCATCCCAGAGACAAATTATACCTTGGCCTAAATATTTGAAGTAGCTGGTGAAATATGATAATGCAACAAATTTTACAGTCTTCCCAATGTTCAAAATGACATTTCTGGATTAAAAATTTTTCTCATTAAATTTCTGACTATCAAACGTGTATAAAATAAATTGTGGGATTATAACAGTATTTTAACCCCCTTAGTTATTACATGATTGGTAGAAAGCAAGAAAAAAGCAAAGACAAATACTTTCCTTTTTTTTTTTTTTTTTTTGCACATAAAAAAGGGACATTTGATCCCTTATTTTTAAACCCTCCAGAGGGTTATTGAATTTTTCCAGAGCTTTAAACATCTCTCAGGGTTATTTTCAGTCCACCATCCATGAATCTCTGCAGCAGGAGCTGCAGAGATCCATGACTTAAGTGGGAGTGACTGTTTGCAGGGAAGCTATTAGCTGATTAAAGCCTTTTGCAGGAGATTGGTGAGAAGAAAACTATAAGAAGTGGTCTTCCCCAGTTCACCACAAACCATGTAGTGGATATGACTACGAGCAAAAACAACACAAGGCAGAAATCTAACACTAAACATCGCCCTCAACACACAAGCCTCATAGTGGGGGTAGTATCATGCTGAGGGAAGAGAAAAAAAATGGATCTAAACTCGGAGCTGGTGCTACAATGGAGGGGTTCAGAACAAAACGATAACTGATGAACAGACAGTGTCTGAAATGACTCAGCCCGGGATTTTTTGGGAAGAAATTTTATTCTTAAACAAATCCGTTGATATGGAAATCAAGACAGAAACCAACTTGAAAAGACTTGCTGCTTTAGGATTCAAAACAATTCTACAAAGTGTTGATCTATAGAGGCTGAATACAGATGCACATCTCAGTTTTATGGATTTATTTAAGATTTATTATGCATTCTAACTTTTCACTGCTACATGTAGTTATTTGCTATTTTGTGTTGGTCTAGGTGTAGGACATAAGATGCCCATGTTATAGAAAAAGGAGGGAAAGGTTAAACAGCAATAAACAGTCTTCTATGAACTATAATAATAGGGGACTGTGGTGCAGAAGAGCAGGATCAGCTTCGTCCTTCTGTGTGGAGCGAAATGTGTCATCCGTTTTCAGTGTCATTTAAAAGGCACATTAATAAAAGTTGTTACTGTGTGCCAAAGCTGGCTGTTTTAGTCTGAATAGCCATGGTTTATATGTGTCTGAATGTATTATGTGTTGGAGTGCATGCATGATTTACAGTTTACATCATAATAGGAAGTGATTTACGATAAAGGTTTTACAGCGTCTCTGTCAGACACCGATATTGATCAGAGCAGCGCTGATGGAAAAGCTCGCTCCTCATTTCCTCTGTCCCTCATCCTCTTACTCCTGAAAGGCTTCTGCTTTTTCATCTCTTTTCCACACACAGTCCTCTATAGGCATTGGTGTCCTGAGTCACCAATCAAAATTCTAGCTGAAAGCCTGTGAATGCATACAGCGATGCTTCCTGCTTGTTAATCACAGCGGAAATTGCTCTCTCGATGAACAAAATTTTACAAGAATTCCCAGGTCTGAAAGGGAGCTGTTTTTATAAATCCTCCCACTCCCTGAGTGATCCATCAACCAGTCAGGGCTGTGACTGTGTCACACAGGCACACACAATTCTGGTCAAAAACCTGAAATGATCACTGGAACAAATTGTGCTATAGATTTAGCTTTTTAATGAACTATTTTAACTTTTATGATTAAACATTTTGAAAATAATATCTGGTGACAGATGTTTGATATTTTTTGTTTTTATGTTTACACCAATCCATTGAAGAACAACACTATACACACCTGCTTAATCATATATCCACCTCCCTATTATTTAGTGATTTTTCTTGGTTACTGACAGTTTGGGATAAATTACAGAACATCTGGTATGTTTGACCTCACTTGGAAGAGCTTATTTAAAATGTTTGGTTCCCATAGGCAGACCCAACCTTTCAAGGATTACTGTACAGATTTTCAGTATATTAAAGAGTAATTCTTAAAGTTTAATGCAAGCCTGCTTTCTCCTTTCCTTAACACCCATGATGCATGATCATTTTCCCGATGAAACGACCTATCCTTTTCCAAGTTTGATGCAAAAGTTATTGGAAAGCTATTAATTAAAATATATTTTCAGATTTTTAGGTAGATTAAAGGCATTTTGTTCTTCTAAAGATATATTTAATGAAATACAAGTGGGGTGAGATTAAAGTACTTCACCCTGCATGTATAACTTTAACTCTATGGATTAGACGTAATGTACATGGAACACAAATTTGTGATCCCATTTCATAATGAGATATTATGTAAGAATTACTGTCATCTACTGGGCATTTTTATTCACACAAACTCTAAACCATAGCATGTCACGGCCTTAAATGTGTATTCCGACAACTGTAGCCGCTTTGTGTCCAAAAGCCTGGACAACACAGATGTAATCATGTCATCTGATAATTCATGTTTTAACTCGGTAAAGAGGTTCCTGATTTTTTTGTATTATAGAATAAAACATTAAAGAAAAGAAAGTGTAACAGCACTGACACAGCAGTGCAATGATGTTCACATGGATTAAGTATATATGTTTATTTCTGCTATATGTGCAGTGTGTACTACAAAGCTTAGATGGATGAATCAATTAAATTAATTTTCCCATTTCCGTGTAAGTAGTGGATTTGCTGATTTTAACTTACAATTCTCTGCAAGTATTTATTTCTTCCTCTTCCCCAGTCCCTCTAAAGCTCTTGATCTTAAGATCATTTCATTATTGTTTCTCCTACTGAATCCCTCTTTTTTTATGCTTTCCGTCTTTCTTTCCCTACACGCCGCTGTGAAAGTGCGCCTTACTTCACAGCCATGCTGATGTTGTTTACAGATAGCTTTCAATCCAGACAGCTGATGAGGAAGTTTGGGCGCAAGAGAGTATGGGGCTGTAGCGGAGTGGATCAACAGTGATTTTTGGTAATCTCTATTATCAATGAGTGTCTCTGTAACTGGGGGATGTTTGCTTTGTTCTTCTGTTACTGTGAGCAAACAAGACAGGTAAGCTTTCCCCTGTCTGTCTGCAGGACTACAGAACTTACAGTCATATTTCCTCGTTATTCAGAGATGGTGTTCAGCCTCATACAGTGAATAATGAGAGCGTAGGTGTCCTGTTAGAAATTCATATGCCTTGTGGCTCTTTGACACATGTAGGTTGTTATAGTTTCAGACTCCCAAGATGTGAGACTCAGTCCGACACGCAGGTCCCATCTGTATGTTTGACATACATCAGTGATTTCTCAGAAAAGGATTTCAGATTGTTTGGATAAAACCCAGATTATATCTGGCAAAAGTAACATTTTGTACCTTTTGCACCCTAACGTAACACACAAATGCCTAACAATATGGTGGATCTTTATGTTGATAATGTGAACATTTAAGAATCTTTTGACACTTATTTTTTAATGATCAATCCTATAGCAACTTAAGGTGGGGAATTACCATTGTATAGTTGTATGTACTTCTCTGTATGAAAAACAGCTCTGTATGTTTACTGTAGTTAAAAGCATTGTATTACAAACCAATATTGGGATTGGATCGAAACCTAGAATAAAAGATCTTAACATAACTAGTGTAATATAATTCCTTTAAAGTTATTTACAATTAAATAAATAGTTAACCTTCTACCTTTATGGCTTTATCTCTTCAATTCATTGAGGTATACATCTGAACCATAAACTTTGCCCTCGCCTTTCAACAGCAACAAAACATAAAAAGAAAAACATAAAAAGATGTGACGTCAAACAAACAATCAAAGTGTAATATTCGCGATGAATTGTGTGAATACTCAGAAGCGATCAGCATTCAGCTAAAATCAGACATCCACAGTGACTGCAGGAAAGATGGAAAAAGTAAAAATAAAAAAGTAAAAATAAAAAATAATAATAACTTGTTTAGTGAGAGCTTGAGCAACACAATTCTCGAGCAATTTTAAGTTTTGGTGGCAGTAATATCAGAAAAATCTATCATTCCTCTTTAAAGTTTTTATGAAAAACAAATACTTGCTTGCTTTGTTAAATCACAAATTAACTGCAATGATTTTTTTTAAGTTAAGGTTTTTAATTACTACTGCTAAAGTTGTAGAATCAAGAAATAACCCTAATGGAGTCCATCTGACAACATTATTATAATGTATTATATAATATATAGTACATAATACTGACAACGGTATTCAAAAGAATTCAAAAAGCATCAAATCATTCTGAGATACAAAAAAATAAATCAGGAACAAAATTATTTCAAGGTCACTGACATCAATCAGTCTCAAAGGGTTACTAAACTATGTAATCAATCAATGAATAAGCCATCGCAAGAATACAGTGCAGAAGCTTTATAGCTCTGTAATAGAGCTACATACCTGGATAGGTGGCATCCAGGTATGTAGCTCTGT